ATTTTTATGGCATTTTAATAGCACCATGCTAATCAGGTAAAGCGTGCAAAGACGGCTGTTGACAATAACAACAAATAGGTCTAGCATGCAAAAAAAAAAAAAGCAAAAGATTCCCATTCTTCAAAGGGAAATCTCACCAACATTAAACAAGGCCATTTTTTCCCTTTCTTTTCTTTTCTTTTCTTTTCTCAGATAAGGTACTTTGTTTAGCTTCAATAAATGGTATCAGTTCATATGCTATGCTGTCTTATCTGTAATATGAGATAAGATGTAGTACTTTTAAGAATATTGTATGTAAGTTTAGAAAATAGTGTACTGAATAAGTAAATGTGCACATACAGCATAGTATTGCATTATTTTGTACACAGAAAATATGAGTGGGCCAAAGAACTATTTCTTAAACCCCCCCTCCCTCCCCTCATTATTTTTTGTGTTCTATTGTTATGGAAATGTAAAAAAAAAAAAAAAAAAAAAAAAAAAAAAAAAAAATATATATATATATATATATATATATTATATATATAAAAAATAAGACAAATGTTACATTTGCTATCCTTGACTGGTTTTAAATATTTACCATTTTAAATATTTACCTGTTTCAAATAGCAAATTATTTTCATTAAGTCATCCATCTCGCTTTTCTACATTCATATTGCACTTTACCCTCATTTACATCTAACGGCATCCACCCCTTGTACCCAGTGCAACAGAATGTTAAGATTCCTGCGAATAGTGGGCAAATGCCATCGACTGACATTAGATCCAAACATGGCAATGCATTTGGATTTATTTATTTTTAATCTTGATATTTAATTTTATTATTTTAAATTTTTAATATCAATATTATTTTAAATTTTTAATATCAACTCATGCATATATATACACACATGTTCATTTATGGAAAATAGAAATAATTTTTATATTCTTATATATTGGTCTCTGTGTCTTTGAAGGTTTTATATGGTGCCTTTTGGTGTACAGCTGCTGTTAACTATCTCGTATTTATCTAAGCGCTCACTTACTCTGTTTTTATATTGTATTTTACATTGATATACTTCTTTTTTAGAATCAAGATGTTGTGACACACCTGATGAATACTATGGTAAGCTTTATTTCTTTATTTTAATGACTTTTATATATGCACAGGCAATCTATTTTTGTCAGCAACGAGACCATACCTGCAGTTCTGAAAGGAATGACAGAATTATTATGTTCAGGTCTTCCCTTATCCAGTGACATCTGTAATCTATTTGCAGTTTTCTAGCTTGATGTATTTGACTAGTTTGGCAGAGTTATATACTTGCACAGATGCCATTGCATCTGGAACATTCTATATGAAAAGTAATAATAATTCACAGATTGCAGTAACAAACAGCAATCAATTACATTCCGTTTTACTGTAGGCTACGTGAAAACATGTGTAATATGATTGTGATTATTTTCTTGTTGGTACAAGGGACACTTAAAGAGCCTGTACACACCTGTAGGAACACAGTAGGTAAGAAGTATGACATACAAACAGGTTATTAATTATTTCAGGTACTTATATAGCACTGTCAATTTTATGCAGAGCGTTACATATATTATGTACATTCATATCAGTCCCTAACCCTCAAGCAGCGCACAATCTAAGGTCCCTAACTCACATTCATACATACACATACTAGGACCAATTTAGACAGGATCCAATTCACCTACCAGCATGTCTTTGGAGTGTGGGAGGAAACCAGAGTTCCCAGAGGAAACCCACGCAGGCACAGGGAGAACATGCAAACTCCAGGCAAATGGTGCCATGGTTGGGATTCAAACCAACGACCCCTAGTACTGCCAGGCAGAAGTGCTAACCATTTAGCCACTGTGCTTTCTTTTGCCTTTTTTCTATTATAGTTGCTGATTTAAATGTTGAGGATGTCTTTTGCCAATGGGAGAGATTTCTGTCCAAAGTCTTTTACAACTTATAGCGGTATTGAACCCAGAAACAAAAAAATAATATAGTGCAGCATACCAATTCTTAAATGTGGCAGCTGTATTAGTTTTCTTTTTTAGCCTCCCCCCTTTATTTTTCTGCCAGTGATACACTTTCTGTCTTAGTGTAGCTCCACTCCACTGGAGGAGCAACAGACACCTTTGGACAGCAGCATTGTCAGTCTGTGGAGATGGTAGTGTTAGACTAGCAGATTTAAATTGACTTGAAGTAAAAATAAAGCCAACATACAGCTATTACTTCTTAAGCAATTACTGCAACAGTTTTTTTTTTCTTCTGGGGGTACAGATTTTAAATAAATAAATAAAAGATGATCATTGTAAGCATTCATGTCAGTGGTAACTGGTTTGTCTCATCCCTCTACTCGGGGTCTCCAAACTTTCTAAACAAAGGGCCAGTTTACTGTCCTTCAGATTTTGAGGGGGCCGGACCGTGGCCATTGTAAGAAGAAAATGCCCTTGCGTCAATGGAAGTAAAAAATGCCCCATCATTGGTATTAATGGGAACAATAAAGCCCCATTGTTGGTGTCAGTGGGAGGAATAGTGCATCATATTTAGTGTCAGTGGGAAGAATAGTGACCCACCATTGGTGTCAGTGGAAGGAATACTGCACAATCTTTGGTGTCAGTGGGAGAAACAGCGCCATATCATTGGTATCAGTGGGAAGAATAGTGTCGCATCATTGATGTCAGTAAGAGGATTAGTGCCCCATCATTGGTGTCAGTGGGAGGAATAGTGCCACATTATTGGTGTCAGTGGGAGGAATAGTGGGAGGAATAGTGCCCCATCTCAGTGAAAGGAAAAGTGTCCCATCATTGGTATCAGTGGGATGAATAGTGCCCCATCATTGGTATCAGTGGGAGGAATAGTGCCCCATCATTGGTATCAGTGGGAGGAATAGTGCCCCATCATTGTTATCAGTGGGAGGAATAGTGCCCCATCATTGGTATCAGTGGGATGAATAGTGCCCCATCATTGTTATCAGTGGGAGGAATAGTGCCCCATCATTGGTATCAGTGGTGGGAATAGTGCCCCATCATTGGTATCAGTGGTGGGAATAGTGCCCCATCATTGGTATCAGTGGGAGGAATAGTGCCCCATCATTGGTATCAGTGGGAGGAATAGTGCCCCATCATTGATGTCAGTGGGAGGAATAGTGCCCCATCATTGGTGTCAGTGGGAGGAATAGTGCCTCATCATTGGTGTCAGTGGTGGGAATAGTGTCCCGTCATTGGTATCAGTGGGATGAATAGTGCCCCATCATTGTTATCAGTGGGAGGAATATTGCCCCATAATTGGTATCAGTGGGGGGAATAGTGCCCCATAATTGGTATCAGTGGGGGGAATAGTGCCCCATCATTGGTATCAGTGGGGGGAATAGTGCCCCATCATTGTTATCAGTGGGGGGAATAGTGCCCCATCATTGTTATCAGTGGGGGGAATAGTGCCCCATCATTGGTATCAGTGGGGGGAATAGTGCCCCATCATTGTTATCAGTGAGAGGAATAGTGCCCCATCATTGGTATCAGTGGGATGAATAGTGCCCCATCATTGTTATCAGTGGGAGGAATAGCGCCCTATCACTGGTGTCAGTGGGAGGAATAGTGCTCCAAGGGCCAGATAAAAGCAAGCAAAGGGCCGCATTTGGCCCCCCGGGCCACAGTTTGGAGACCACTGCTCTAACTGCTACTTTTGCTGGACAGCTTGGTCAGCTGCAATATATTAAAAAGTTGTTTTTGGGTTTAATACTGCTTGAGTCCTGGTTCACACTGTGGAACCGCATGTGGTTTGCAAAGGAATTGCACGGCATTCCAGTGCAAACCGCATGTGATTCTGTGTGGTGCGATTTGAGCCCATTCATTTTGTATGGTTCAAATAGCACTGCATCCACACGAAAAAGGTGCAGGCGCCTTTTTTTGCTGCACTGGAATTGGATTGAATGGGTGTTCATACCCATGTGATCTGATTTGATTCAGGCAAACGCACTGTGTTTTGCGACCTGCCTTTGGGGTGTCGTTAACTTAACATTGACACTCACAGCAGGTTTCGTGAACACAGTGCGATTGCTATGCGGTGTGAGAAATGCACGGGAATCTCTGCGTTTCCTGCATGGTATCAGTGTGAACCCAGGCTTAAAGGCTGCACTCAAAACTGATATTGTACGTCCAGGAAACATTAGGGCCTATTTTCACTATATTTTCCTGTTTTTGAAAACCTGTTGGTTTCACAAAGCTATAAAAACTGGTAAAATATCTTAAATTGCTGATCCATGAATAGCTGATTTAGGGCTCTATGTTCACTAGAGTGCGAAAGGTAAAGCTGTCTGCTCCTTGGTGCTCTGGGGGAGGTAGTGTGGTATGCTATTCAGTGCATCACAGAGTTTCCTTTTTTTTTGTTTTGGACAACTTTATTTGAAGAGTACAAAAGGTACACTTTATTCATAGCTCTGTACAACAGTGCAATGTGTTGAGCTGCTGTACAGTGCCATTCAATTCTGTACAATGCGCTGTGATAAAATGCAGTATGTCTGTATTTTATTGCAGCATGCTGCAGCGCAGCTCCAGGCTGCATTGCAGTGTGAATGGGACACACAGAAAACAATTGTTTTTTCGTGTGTCCTTGTGTTGACAGGCGTTTTTTATAATGCACTAAATCCAGGGGCGGACTGACCATTTGAAAACTCGGGCACTGCCCGAGGGCCCGGGGTCAGTAGGGGGCCCCATGAGATGCCCCTGGTACCTTTTTCATAGGCTTTTTTGAGTTTGGGCAAGGACATAGGGGCCCCATGATCCCCTATTGCCTGGGGGCCCCATGAGTTGTCAGTCCTCCCCTGACTAAATCATCTATCACTGCACAATGTGTGAATAGATCCTCAATCTGTTAAATGAACAAACCCTAATGAGAAATCTTTATTTTATAAATCTTAATGCTAGGTGCAAAGAACTGCAAGGAGCTGCAGGAGAAAGGAGCGGTGATCAGTGATTGGTACACCATATACCCCGAGGGGGAGAAGCCAATGAAAGTGCTCTGTGACATGCACACCGATGGTGGTGGATGGATTGTAAGTCCAGTGCTAGGCTGATGTTTAGGTTGTGAAAATAAAACTAATATCACTAATGCAAAAGTAAATCAAGATCTATTCATTTTTAGGGGGTCTTAATAGCTATTATTATTGTATCTCCTCTCCTATTTTTTTTTTTTTATTTTTTTTTATTATAAATGTTGCCATAGAACTCCAGGCAGGTATAAAACACTATTAATCCTCATGCACACTGGATGTTATAAAAATGCCAGTATCGTTAACTGTTGAATGCTGCAATAAAAACTTGTCTTTTTGCGTTTTTTAGCTTTTTTGCATTTGCTTTTTTCAGCGTTTAGTGGTTTTCAGCATTTGCGTTTCTTAGCAGTTATACTCTCACAAAATCTTCAGGCTCAAAAACGCTCATAAATGCTGGATATCTGCGTTTCTTAGCGTTTTTTCAGCTTTTATTGGTGGTTTTCAGCTTATATCAGCGTTAGAGCATTTTTACAGCTAAAAACCCCTCTTGACACCCAAGGGGGGGGGGGGTTACCAGCCAGAAAATGCTCCTGACAAAAAACGCTGATTACAGCCTATGTGCTTATGAACATAGGATAACATGCTGGGGAGTTTACTGGCTGTAGAAAAAAATTCCAGCAGCTGTAAAAATGTCCTGTGTGCATGAGGACTAAGCTTCTGTCTATTACTTTTACATTTTTTAAAATGCATTTTTACATACAACTGTGGGCGGACAAGTGCTTCCTCCCTGTGTCACCCTCCAGGTTATGCAGTCTGACAAAGATGTAGAGTCAAAAAGTGAATGAGTTTGAAATCCTTTAGCAGAAAGAACAGTTCATTTATGTTTATTTCTATTTTATGTTTGGCTGCAGTTTGGCTTAAAGGGTGACTCCACTTTCGTGAAAAAAACATAAAAAAATGAATATACTGTAGCATATACAATTGCTACACGGGCTATATTGTAATGCTATTTAAAAATGTCCTTTCGTTTTCAATATGCAGCTGCTGTAATTTCCTGTAAAAGTCAATGGAATATGTCAACCTAGAGGTGGTCTGTGGTACAGATGGTGTACAGAATGCCTCCAAAAAATGTAATTTCCAGCTTGTGTGATTGGTTCACTGATTTCCCCAGAAGTCTGCATTAAGGTACAAGTCAAATTTTAGGCATCCTCTGCAATACGAACTATATTTGTATAAGTGTTGGAACCCTTACTTTTTAATATATTTATAAACAACATAGGGTCTGTACAAATCATTAGTAAGACCTCATCTGACCTCACCTGGAATATGCAGTTCAGTTTTGGGCACCAATTCACAAAAAGAACATTGGGCCTCCACATTTTTCCGAACTGGAGAAAGTACAGAGAAGGGCAACCAAACTGATAAGAGGCATGGAGGAGCTCAGCTATGAGGAAAGATTAGAGGAACTGAATTTATTCTCTCTTGAGAAGAGGAGATTAAGGGGGGAAATGATCAACATGTATAAATACATCACAGAGCAGTGGTTCATATAGTGAACTCGGTGTAGAGCTATTCACCCTGAGGTCATCACAGAGGACAAGGGGGCACTCTTTACGTCTGGAGGAAAAGGAATTTAATCTCCAAACATGGAAAGGTTTCTTCACAGTGAGAGCTGTGAAAATGTGGAATAGACTCCCTCAAGAGTTGGTTCTGGCCAGTTCAGTGGATTGCTTTAAAAAAGGCCTGGATTATTTCTTAGATACACAGAATATAACTGGATACTAACATTTATAGGTAAAGTTTATCCAGGGAATATCCGATTGCCTCTCGGGGATCAGGAAGGAATTTTTTCCCAGCAGGTGCAAATTGGATCATGCTTTGCTGGGTTTCTTTTGTCTTCCTCTGGATCAACTGTGGGTATAGGATTATAACTTTTTTTTTTTTTTTTTTTTTTTATGGTTGAACTGGATGGACTTTTGTCTTTTTTCAGCCAGACTAACTATATAACTATGTAACTATTTTTGGTGAGATACTCTTTAAAGTTAAATTATTTCTAAAAGGATGCAGACCCTGCAACTTTCCTCATTAGACCATTGCAAGTGCATAAGCTGAATATACACACAAAACACATAGTGGAACATAGAGAGTTTTTTTTAATGTGATTGTAAAGTCTTTTTTTTTTTAAATAAAAATGTTTTTACTTACCTGCCCTGTGCAATGGTACTGCACAGTGCAGCCTCGAACCTCCTTTTCTGGGGGTCTCCTGCCAATGCTCTGGACTCCTCCTTTTCTGATTCTTTCTATTGGGGCATATATAAGGTCTCGTTCCCGAGCCAGGCTCTGTGTGTCCATAGACACATGCAGCGTGGTTCAGCCCTATCCCCCCCCCCCATTCCCTTCTAACTGGATTTTATTGACAGCAAAGCTGGTGAGACCAGGAAGAGAGGGAAAGAAGAGCTTTTTTTTTACCCTAATGGAGAGATTAGATGCCGTGCAAGCCGGCAATGGCTTATCAACAAACAAACCGAATCTGGAAGTGACAAGGTTTCTGACATCACGGAAGAGGGCCGGGGACTTCCTTTTGTTCCAGTCTTCCCCCTTCCGCCACCTCTAGAAGTGATCAAGTAGCCAGTCACATCACTTCTACAAAGTGGAAAATTTTGATACCGGGTTGATGCCTGTAACTGCATCCTGGTATAACCACTCCAACCTGAGGACGTGTTGTACATAAGTGAAAAGTATACAGAATATACAGTAAGTAAACAGTTGAATAAGTAAACAGTTGCTAAAGGCACGAATTTACTACTGCAGCTAAACGCAGCCGCATGTAAATGCACATAAACACAATGTACACACGCGAGTGATCTCTGTGCCAGGAGTGTTGGAAATTCAAAAATAAAAAAAACATGCATTTACAAGCGGCAGAACAACCGCCTGTGTGAAAGAGGCCTTACTAAACCCGCAACAGGAAAATCAGTCTGTATATGCAGTAAAGCATGCTTGTTATACTCACTGTGGAACCTAAGAGGTTAATCCTTGCATTGTGTAAAAAGGATATTTGAACCTGTCTTCTCTGATCCTCCCTTTTTCTTATGTCCCCAATCCATCTGCTGAGAGCGCAGAGCTTTAGGAGTCACTCTGCACATGCTTAGTTTAGTGTGTATTGCTAGAGAGGTTTTTTTGAAGGGAGAGGGTGCATGTGATCAGCACAGAGCCAATCAGCACTGTCCAGATAGAGAGTCAGGGGTCAAGCAGTAAATGTAAAAATGCATTTTTGATCCTGATTTCTCTAATCCTCCCCTTCTTCTACTGTCCCCAATCCTTCTGCTGATAGAACAGAGCCTTGGGGGCAAGCTACACATGCTCAGTTTGTAGTGTATTGCTAGATAATTTTTTTTTCTTGGGAGAGTGCATGGGATCAGCACAGGGCCAATAAGCACTGTCCATACAGAGGGTCAGGGGTCCTGCAGCCTCATAGGACAATCAGGGGAGAATAAAACTCATCCTACAAGCTTTAACCAGTGCTCAGCTGGACTCTGATAGAAGTCACAAGACTGCACTAATGGCTGATGAGAAAAGGTATTTTGCAGTTTATATTTACTAAAATAATTGCATTTCCATGTTCTGTGTACTGTGGGAGACCAGATAGAGTGAATGCAGGGCGGAAGCATTGAGACAATAAACTTTACAAAATATATACTAAACAGCTGGAAGTTTAACATGGAAATAAAAGGACCAGCCAGTTTCCGGTACTGGTCAAAAGATTCAGTTCAAGTGAGTAAAGCAGCTATGGCTGTAGAGTAGCAATGCGTAAAGCCGGCCACACATGGAACAAAGCTTGGCCAGTTCAGCAGGGACCGGAGGAGATTCTATCCCTGTATGGGCAGGCTGGTTGTATCCAAGTCGATCCAATGATTGACTTAGACACAACCAGCCTGTCGGATTTTTTGATATTCGATTACTGCCAGCAGCTATAGCCGCTACCAGTAACCATTGTGCTCGGCCCAATGGAAAGACGCCCCACCCCACCCCCCACCAGCAAAAAACAAACTGTAAGCAAAAATCCAGCAAGGCATAAAATTATAATTATTTCTTTTTACCTGTAGGTGATTCAAAGACGTTGGGATGGCTCTGTGGATTTCTCCCGAAACTGGAGTGCATACAAAACTGGATTTGGTAGCCGTCATGAATTTTGGCTGGGGAATGAGAAAATTCACAAGCTGACAACACATGGTATTAACTGTTAAGTCTATTTGTACAATGATGACGCTCTAACAGTCTGTGCTAACCCTTAACTAGCTCAGACTTCCATTCTGCAATCATTACTTTCCACTTTAGGAAGTCATCTGATAAAACTGTCTTGACTAATCCTTTAAAAACCCACCATCATCCTTCGATCTACCAATCCTCCATCCTGATGTGTTTACAAACATTCAGCCTATGTGAAATGGCTTAATATTTGTAAACACTACGAGTGTTTACACCTGTGATAACTGTGATTGGTTCATGATGCTGTTTGTTCACTAATTTTCTCGAACAAACCTCTGTAAACAAAAAGTGTCAGAATAGGCCTGGTCTTCAAGTGGTTATTTTTAGAAATTTAATTTTTTTCCTCCAGAACATAGTGTTGCCAACCCCCTGAAATGAAATTACACCCAAAATTTACAAAGAGCACAATGTTTTACTGACAAAAGCTATGAAATTTACTGAAAGAGCCACATTTTTTACTGGCACTTCAAACAAGTACATAAAATCACTGTTTTAAGTGCAAATATCAATGTTTAGGCTATAAACTTATAGCTAGTGCTATTAGCAACGTTAAAGTTTAAGTTATACGAAAAGTCAAGAACCATGTTTCTCTGTTTCCATGAAAGTCAGGTTAATATAACCCAGCCAGCACAGAGTTCCCCCTTACATCAAAGTCTGCAGCGTTCCCTTTACATCGGGGTCCTCAGAGTTCTCCCTTGCACTGTATGGGGGAATCCTGCAGACTCTGATATAAAGCGTAACTGTGAGGACACTGATGTAAGAGGGAATTCCGGGAATACTGATGTAGGGGGGACTCACTGACCTCCTCTCAAGTGCACTGTGCAAGGCTCAGTCAGACGTTCCTCTCTGGGTTCCAGCTTCGCAGCTCTGGTTTGATGCTGTATTTTCCTCTCCACAGTCCACACACATCTGACTCCTCCCATGACCCCCATCCTGGTGCTGCCAGTGCTCCCACTCTTGGCTCCTCCCCAGATTCCCCCTCAGAGACTGCAGACATGATACAGGGGATGGTCAGAGACAGTGGACATGATACAGGAGATAGTTAGAGATTTTGAACATGATACAGGAGATGGTTAGAGATTGTGGACATGATACAGAAGATACAGAATACAGGAGATGGTTAGAGATTTTGGACATAATACAGGAAATGGTTAGATATTGTGGACATGATACAAGAGGATTGTGGACATGATACAGGAGATGGTTAGTGATTGTGGACATGATACAACTATCACCTCTACGCTGACGACACTCAAATTTACCTCTCCACCCCTCTCCTCACCCCCACTTTCTCCGCCCGCATCACTCACCTCCTAAACGACATCTCAGACTGGATGTTTCGCTACATTTCCTCAAGTTTAACCTCTCCAAAACTGAGCTCCTCGTCTTTCCCCCTGCCCCCCCCCCCATCCTATCCATCATCACCAACAACACCACTATCATTCCCGCCCTGCAAGCCAAAGTCCTTGGCGTCATTCTTGACTCGAACCTCTCCTTCCAACCTCATGTCAAATCACTTACAAACACATGCAGGCTCCACCTCCGCAACATTGCCAAGATGCGTACCTTCCTTACCCCAGACACCACTAAACTACTCGTACACTCCCTGATTATCTCACGCCTTGACTACTGCAACTCCCTCCTCACCGGCCTACCCCAGTGCAAGCTCTCCCCGCTTCAGACCATCCTGAACTCAGTGGCTAGACTCATCCACCTCACCAACCACTCCACCTCTGCCACCCCCCTCTGCCTCTCCCTCCACTGGCTCCCGATTGCCCAACGCATCAAATTTAAACTTCTAACCCTGACCTACAAAGCCGTTCACAACACTGCCCCTGACTACCTCACCAACCTGATCCCCAAGTACCGCCCTACCCGTACCCTTCGCTCCTCACAGGACCTCCTTCTATCCTGCTCCCTGGTCTCCTCCTCCCATGCACGATTGCAAGACTTCTCCAGGTCCTCCCCCATCCTCTGGAACTCATTGCCCCAATCCATCAGACTGTCACCTTCCCTCCTCACATTCAGGCGCTCCCTCAAAACCCATCTCTTCAGGGAAGCCTACCCCACCCTCACCTAACGGCCATTCTCCCTCATTCCTCCCACCACTTCTTTCCCCTCAGCCACTTCCTACTGTACCACTACCCCCTCCCTCCTAGATTGTAAGCTCGAAAGAGTAGGGCCGTCTTACCCCTCGTACGTTGTTTGTTATTGTTGTACTGTGCCATGTATTGTCCCCCCAATATTGTACAGCGCTGAGCAAACCCTTTGGCGCTATATAAACTTGATGTAATAATAATAATAATAATGATACAGGAGATGGTTAGTGATTGTGGACATAATACAAGATGCAGGAGATGGTTAGATGCTGCGCAGAGGATACAGGAGATGGTTAGATGCTGTGGAGAGGATACAGGAGATGGATAGAAGATGCAGAGAGGACTAGGAAGTCAGTAGAGGTGTGCAGGATTTTAGGGTGAGGAACCAGTACTAGGGTGACGAGTAGTGTTAGGCTAAATGTTCGAGTTGAGCACAAGTTTGACTCGAACATTGGTCATACGTGTGTTCGCCAAACACTCGAACAGTAAGGGTATCCTAAAAGGCCTGGTATGCTTTTTAGGGGGAATCCCATGCACTTTTTAACCACTTCCCGTCCAGTCCATGTATATAAACGGCCGGACGGTGGCGTGCAGGGTCGGGTGGCCATTTATGAACGGCCTCCCAGCACCGTGCTTGTACTCCAAGGGAGCGCGCAGCATCGCAATCCGGCGCACCGATCGTCGAATGTGACCTCTGTGCGAGGTCCCGATGCAGCTAGAGAGAAGGAGAAATGATTGCTTTTATAGCCTTTATGGGTGTAAAAGCAATCAGTGTAAAAAAAAAAAAAAATCTTCATCACCCCCCACAAGTAGTACAGTGTCACCATGGTGACACTGTACTGCTAGGGTGACAGTATGTAAAAAAAAAAAACAAAAAAAAAAATAATAATATAAAAAAATTTAAAAAAATGTAAAAAAAAAGTTTAAAAATTATAATTTTTGGTTATAAACTAATTTGGGTTATTTTTTTTTTTTTTACTAAAAAGATAATGGAATAACTTTTGGCCAAGATTTATGATGAAATATTATTTATTTGCAAAATATAAGAAAAACACTTTTTTTCAAAATTTTTGGACTTTTTCATTTACATAGCAAAAAAAAAATAAAAATCCCAGTGGTGAATAAATACCACCAAAAAAAAGCTTTATCTGTCTCAAAAAAAATGCTAAACAATTCATATGGGTACAGTGTTGCATGACAGCGCAAATGTTATTCAAAGTGTGATAGCACTGAAAGCTGAGAATTGGCCTGGACAGGAAGGGGGTGAAAGTGTCTGGACTGGAAGTGGTTAAAAAAAACAATTACTGTGCGGTCCCTCCTAACCCTCCTACCAGACCTAAAGGGTCTGGTAAGGATTAGGGTGGAAACCCAACGCTTTTTTTTTTTTTTTTCTTTTTTTAATAAAAATTTTATTTTTTTTAACCACTTGCTTACCGGGCACTTTTACCCCCTTCCTTACCCAGGCCAATTTTCAGCTTTCAATGCTGTCTCACTTTGAATGACAATTGTGCGGTCATGCAACACTGTACTCATATGAAATTTTTATTATTTTTTTCCCCACAAATAGAGATTTCTTTTGGTGGTGTTTAATCACCACTGGGTATTTTATTTTTTGCCCTATAAAGGAAAAAATTTGAAAATTTTGGAAAAAAAAAGTTTTCTTTGTATCTATTATAAAATTTTGCAAACAGGTAATTTTCTCCTTCACTGATGTGCGTTGATGAGACTGCACGGATAGGCATCATGATGGGCACTGATAGGCAGCACTGATGGGCACTGATGAGTGGCACTGATAGGCTGCACTGATAGGCTGCACTGATGGGCACTGATAGGCAGCAATGATGGTCACTGATAGGCAGCACTGAAGGCACTAATAGGTAGTACTGAAGGGCACTGACTGGCGCACTGACTGATGGCACTGATTAGCAGCACTGATAGGTAGCACGGACGGGCACAGATTGGCAGCACTGTTGGGCAGTGATGAGTAGCACTGTTTGGCACTTTTGGGTCTGCACTGTTAATCAGTGCCCTGATTATCAATGCAGATGTCTGCTTTGACAGTTGTTGTTCACCAGCAGTACTTTCCTTACACTGTGACAGCATGAGGAAAGTACTGTCGATAACCGGCAAGTGTATTTACATAGTGGTCAGCTGTGATTGGCATTTTACCATGTCATTTGATCAGCTGTGTCCAAAGGACACAGCGATCACAGACAGTGCTGGGGGCATCGCTGGGTGCGCACAGAGGCGTGCGTTCTGGGTGGATATCATGTAACGCCCTCCCAGACCTGGACTATCACGCTATAGCCATCATTCAGCTATAGCGCGATAATAAATTGTTTATAAAATATCAGTCCTGATATTGCTGCAGGTTCTATACATTGTACAGATGTACAACTTTGCAGGTAATTTAGGGGATTCCCCAGGCATGATATTTGAAGGACTTTTTTTTTTTTTTTTTACTTTAAGCAATGAAAAATGACTGCCCCTATAAAATGGTACTTCTTTCATTAGGTTTGTTCAACCACAAATGAACACGGGGGTGCTCAGCTTATCACTAGTGCAGAGTGGTGAACGAGTCAGTTCTGTGGTTCTATATTGGTGTGCCAGGTGGAGAGGAAAGGGTCAGGAAGGAAGTACTCTTGGTCCAGTTTTGGGGTTCTTTTTCCATGTGAATGTGCCTGTGATCTATAGAGAGCTGCGCAAGTTAAAGGATTTACTACTGACAATGCCAGTTGAGCCTGTCCCCTTTTTAAGTACATACTGTACGTTTGTACAGCCAATTAGGGTGGCCGCAATGTCCCAGAGCTCCCCATCAAATGCTGACATCTTTAGCCTGGTGGCTTCCAGGTATTGAGCCCTGGCCCTTTTAAATGGTTGGGCCCAGATGATGTCACTCCCATGGTGGTCGTAATGGTTAATGATTCATACTCTGAATGGTCTGGGGTTGTCAGTGGTGTACCCCAATATTCAGTGCTGGTACCCTTACCTTTTAATATGTTTATAAACAATATAGGTTCTGGGATTAAAAATCCCATTTCAGTCTTTGCAGATGACACCAAGCTGTGCAGTAGAATAATGTCCTTACAGGATATCTTCAACTTACAAGCCGACCTCAATGCACTGTTTAATTGGGCAACTATGTGGCAAATGAGGTTTAATGTTAATAAATGTAAGGTTATGCACTTGGGGGCTAAGAATATGCATGCATCATACATAAGGGGGGGGGTATAACTGGGGGAATCAATGGTGAAGGATCTGGGGGTTCTGGTAGATCACAAGCTTAATAATGGCATGCAATGCCAAGCTGTGGTTTCTAAAACGAGCAAAATCCTCTCTTGTATTAAAAGAGGTATAGACTCCAGAGTGAGAGATATCATATTACCCCTGTATAAATCATTATTAACACCTCATCTGGAATTTGCAGTTCAGTTTTGGGCACCAATTCACAAAAAGAACATTGGGGAACTGGAGAAAGTACAGAGAAGGGCAACCAAACTGATAAGAGGCATGGAGGAGCTCAGCTATGAGGAAAGATTAGAGGAACTGAATTTTGTTTTCTCTTGAGAAGAGGAGATTAAGGGGGGATATGATCAACATGTATAAATACATCAGTGGTTCATATAGTGAACTCGGTGTAGAGTTATTCACCCTGAGGTCATCACAGAGGACAAGGGGGCACTCTTTACGTCTGGAGGAAAAGAGATTTAATCTCCAAATACGGAAAGGTTTCTTCACAGTGAGACCTGCAAAAATGAGGAATAGACTTCCTCAAGAGTTGGTTCTGGCCAGCTCAGTGGATTGCTTTAAAAAAGGCCTGGATTGTTTCTTAGATACACAGAATATAACTGGATACTAACATTTATAGGTAAAGTTTATCCAGGGAATATCCGATTGCCTCTCGGGGGATCAGGAAGGAATTGTTTCCCCTGCAGGAACAAATTGGTTCATGCTTTGTTTTTGTTTTTTGCCTTCCTCTGGATCAACTGCGGACAGGGGCGGACTGACCATTTGGAAACTCGCGCACTGCCCGAGGGCCGGGGTCAGTAGGGGGCCCCATGAGATGCCCCTGGTACCTTTTTCATAGGCTTTTTGAGTTTGAGCAAGGACACAGGGGCCCCATGATCCCCAATTGCCCGGGGGCCCCATGAGTTGTCAGTCCGCCCCTGACTGTGGGTATAGGATTATAACTTTTTTTTTTTGGTTGAACTGGTTGGACTTTTGTCTTTTTTCAGCCAGACTAACTGTGTAACTATGTAACTATGCATGTACGGGAGTGCAGTCAGCTCAGCATTGCCGAAATGCTGCTCAATGTACAGTGGCAGACAGGCAGGTAAGCAACTTTAAGAGACTTGGTATATCTCTCCTGCATTAAAAATCTTGTGTTTTCCAATTTAAATTTTTTCCATGAAAGTTCCACTTTAAGCAATTTTCAAACCTCTCTTCTCGTTCTCCACAGGTAAATGGGAGCTGCGTGTTGACCTTCATGATTTTGATGAGGTAAAACGCTTTGCAAAATATTCCTCCTTCAAGATTCTGGGAGAATGTGAGAAGTTCAAGTTATCGCTTGGCTCTTTTAGCGGAGGAACTGCAGGTAAAGACATTATATGTTTTATTTTAACATTTCAAATAAAAGCAAGAAGCTCTAGAGACCATTTTCTACAGAGCACCTCGTTCACTACTTCAGAAGTAAAAACCTGACAGCAACTGTAACTCTACTCTATAAAAAAATGAATGTCTGGTTAGGCTTTGAGATAGACCATGCTGGTGCAGTCATGACGTGTTTTTAAAAAATCGGGTGATACGGCCACTGTTGTGATAAAAACCATTTCACCTCTAGGCATGTCATACTCCAGGCAAATACCTTACCAAAATGTTTTCCAGTTCAGGTGAAGTGTCAATATTAAGGCTCGGTTCACACTGTTGCGATTTGGGATCCGACTTTTGAGACCCCAAGTTGCATGACATGTAAAAATACCATGTTAGTCAATGAGAGCTGTCTTAATTAACACTACTCAAGTCGCTGCGGCTTTAGAAATGGTTCCTGTACTACTCCAAGGTGACTAGTATCTGACTTGTGCCCATAGACTTTAATGGAAGTTGTCTCCAAGTCGGATCCTCATCTCTATTGATGTGGTTTGGATCCAACATTACAGGAAGATTACCCAGGCATTCCCTGAATGTTTGGCTAGGGTCAGTGTCACTACTGGTAGCATGAGGCGATACCTGTACCCTACAGAGGTTGCACAAGCAGTTCAACTCCTTCAGGATGGCATATCAATACGTGCCATTGCCAGAAGGTTTGTTGTGTCTCCCAGCACAGTCTCAAGAGCATGGAGGAGATTCCAGGAGACAGGCAGTTACTCTAGGAAAGCTGGGCAGGGCCATAGAAGGTCCTTAACCCATCAGCAGAACCGGTATCTGCTCCTTTGTGCAAGGAGGAACAGGATAATCACTGCCAGAGACCTACAAAATAACCTCCAGCAGGCCACTGGTGTGAATGTCTCTGACCAAACAATCAGAAACAGACTTCATGAGGGTGGCTTGAGGGCCTGACGTCCTTTATTGGGCCCTGTGCTCACTGCCCGGCACCATAGAGCTCATTTGACATTTGCCATTGAACACCAGAATTGGCAGGTCTACCACTGGCACCTTGTGCTATTCACAGATGAGAGCAGGTTCACCCTGAGCACATCTGACAGATGTGAAAGAATCTGGAGAAGCCATGGAGAGTGCTATGCTGCCTGTAACATCATTCAGCATGACCGTTTTGGTGATGGATCAGTGATGGTCTGGGGAGCCATATCCATGGAGGTAGGCACAGACCTCTACAGGCTAGACGATGGCACCCTGACTGCCATTGGGTATTGGGATGAAATCCCATTGTCAGACCCTACGCTGGTACAGTGGGTCCTGGGTTCCTCCTGGTGCACGACAATGCCCGGCGTCATGTGGCTAGAGTATGCAGGTAGTTCCTGGACAATGAAGGAATTGATACCATTGAATGGCCCCCACACTCGCCTGACCTAAATCCAATAGAACACCTCTGGGATATCATGTGTCGGTCCATCCGACGCCGCCAGGTTACACCTCAGACTGTCCAAGAACTTAGTGATGGCCTGGATCAGATCTGGGAGAAAATACCCTAGGACACCACCCGTCGTCTCATTAGGATCTTTCCCTGATGTTGTCAGGCATGCATACAAGCATGTGGGAGCCACACAAACTACTGAGTACCATTTTGAGTTGCATAAATGAAATTTCGGCAAAATGGACTAACCTGCTGAAACATTTTTTCACTTTGATTTTCAGGGTGTCTTTGAATTCAGTCCTCTGTAGGTTGATAATTTTCATTTCCATCAAACGATGGGGCATCCTTACTTTCCTAACACATTACCCAGTCCATATCAGTATAGCTATCCAGCATGATATTTTTCCCCATTGAGATCTGATGTGTTTTCAAAGTGTTCCTTTAATTTTTGTGAGCAGTGTAATTACTAATGATTGTAGCATAAGGATTAAAAATAGTTCATGTTGGTTGAGAGAGTTTTGCTCTGCTTTAACACAACACGTGGTAATCTGGCACAACAGTATGATCGTCCGTTAAATTCATTGCAAAACTTTAACCTCCCTGGAGGTATTCCCGAGTGTAGCTCGGGGTAAAGTTTCAGCACCACAAGTGGTAACCCCAAGCTACACTCGGGAATACCTTGCAGCATTGCTCCGGGATATCTTCTTCACTTACCTTGTCCTTCGCTCCCGCGATGTCCCTCCTGCAGTGTCCCCTGTAATGTCCTCCGGCTGATGCCGGCATCCGTCTTCTGGTTTCCGTTCCCTGCAACGTCAAGACGTACGGGGACGGAACGGCGGGAAATTTAAAAATGTGAAAAAGTGACATTCACTAAATACACTAAAATCACATAGTAAAACATTACTGTATCAAAGCATTTCACATACATTTTGTCCCGAGTGCTTTGTCCTGTGCCCTGCCTGCATTTTGACTGTTCTTTCTGCCTGGAAACTGAGGAATGTCCATGTCGTCCAAAAAGCGTCCCTTTAGGTCAAAAGCGGTTTTTAGACCAGCTAGAGAACAGCGATAATAAATCAGAACCACTTGCAGAATTGAGTGATAATGATTCGTGGGGAAATTCATCATCAGACACTGAAAACGATTTTGCGACTTTGCTCAGTGATGTGCGAACTTGGCACTCTATTTCAAATTTCAGTGTTTTTGGTTTGATTATATTTTTGAATTAAATTTATTATTATATTATTATTTTTTATGATTATTTATTAAATTAGAATTTATGATTTCGTGTTTCAAATTTTAACATACCCAGGATGTTTACTAGACTCTTGTTTGGACAGATTTCAGTGAGTTATTCCTAAAATTACAGGCCTACAATAAAAAAAATACGTATTTCCATGCAAAAAAATGTACCGCTTTGAGCACAGAAATACTGACATAATCAGACCGCTAGGGAGGCTACGAGATGTCCTGGCTGATTACTACCTTATTTTGCTTTCTTGACCTTGATACATGACACATTCCAGCCACTTCCTACTTCCAGGGTGTCTTGTGACACAAATAATTTACAATTCATATATTTTTATTACTATTTATATTATTGTGTTCCTGTAAACACAATGTTCATATAGATTTTCCTTTTACCAGGTGATTCACTGAGTCAGCACCACAACATGAAGTTCAGCACTTTTGATGAGGACAACGATGAGAGCTCCTCCACCCACTGTGCCCATTTGTTCAAGGGAGGCTGGTGGTTTAAATCTTGCCACTCTGCTTTCATGAATGGGATGTACCTGAAGGGAGAAACATAAGGAAGCTTTTGTTGGCATCAACTGGCAAACTGCCAGGGGTGAACACTATTCTTATGCACATGTAGAAATGAAGATCAGACCCATTCTTTGAACCCCTGCATTCGCTAATCACACAGAAGAGCTTGTAAAATTTACAATGTCATACATGATTTAAGACATAAGACTAGAAGAATGAACTATCCACTCCACTACAATTCCAAATATTTCTCACTGGAGAATGGGGGTTGTAGTCTGGCTGGAGACTGCCTGCCTTCCATATTTTGTTCTTCTATCATGATGTCATCACTGTGTACCTAGTGTATTTCTGATGACATCACTGAACATCCTGGATATTTTCATAGGCAATGACTGAGAGGATGCCAGTGATGTCAGTATGATTTCATCTTGGAAACACACTCTGATTTAATGCATGTATTTTTACCAATAAATAAACATTTTGCTTCAGATAACTATAATGGCATATTCATTTGACGGATTTGTTTCTTTTGATATTGTCTTTGGGGGTTTCCCCCAACTAGACTGCTTCCAGAAATGCTCCCAGCTTCCCTGGTGATATCCATAAGGAGCAGTGGACATCCCTGTAGATGTAGCCCTGATACTGCCAAACCATTGGACACTATATTCAACATTACTGCTCATCACCTTCACTAACATTCCACACCTTCCCTGACTCCCAACATCCTTCTCGTCACTTTCCACATCTCTTAAATCACCATCCGAAGCACTTCATATCTTTCTCATCACCCTCTATGACAGCCCACATCCTTGTCATCACCCTTCTCAATCTTCTAATCACCCTTCAAGATACTCCATATTGTTCATTTTACCATCCATGACACCGTACATCCACATTGCCCTCCACATTCTTCTAATCACCCTCCAGGATACTCCACATCCTTCTCATCACTCTCCATGGAACCCCACAATCTACTAATCACCCTTCCTGACACCCCACATCCTTCTCATCACCCTCCCTGACATCCCACATCCTTCTCATCACCCTCTGACACCCCACACCCTTTTTGTCACCCTTCTCAACACCTCACATTCTTCTTATCACCAACTATGACAACCCACATCCTTTTCATCGCGCTTCCCAACACCCCACTTTTTTATCATCATCCACCATGGCATCCCACATCTTTCTCATCACCTTTCAGACACCTCCCATTCTTTACATCATGAACCCTGACACCCCCCATTCTTCTCATCATCTTTTATTACATTCCATGTCCTTCTCATCTCCCTCCCTCACACCCTCATCCTTCTTATCACTATCCCTGGCACCCCCACATTTTTTTTATCAACCCCCTGACACCTCAGATCCTTCTCATCGCCCTCTTAAACATCCCACATCTTTTTCATCACCCTCAATGATACCCCAATTTCCTCATTAGCTTATATGACACCCTACATCCTTCTCATCATCCTCCATGTCACCCCACATCCTTTTTTCTCCCTGTATGACACCCCACATTCTTTTCATCATGATCCCTTACACCTCACATCCATCTCATAACCCTCTCTGACACCCTACATCCTTTTTTATCATGCTTCCCAACACCCTGTGTCATTCTCATCATCTTCCCTGATACCCCACATCTTTCTCATCATGTTTCTGGCACCTCACTTCTGCACATCATCCTTCCTGTTAACCCACCCCCACATCCTTCTTGCCATCCTATATTACATTCCACATCCTTCTCATCTCCCCCCCTCACACCCCACAACCTTTCCATCAATCCCTTGACACCCCACATCCTTCTAATCACCCTCCTCAACATCCCACATCCTTTTCATCACCTTCAATGACACCCCACTTTCCCATTATTATCCTAGATTACACTCCACATGCTTCTCATCATCCTCTCCAAAACCACATATCTTTCTTGTCAGTGTACATGGCACTTCCCATCCTTATCATCATTTTAGTCAATGCCACATATTATACTTCATAGTGGGGTTGATTTACTAAAACTGGAGAGAGCAAAATCTGGTGCAGCTCTGCATGGTAACCAATCCACTTCTAACTTCAGTTTGTTCAGTTAACCTTTGACAAAAAAACCTGGAAGCTGATTGGTTTCTATGCAGAGTTGCACCAGATTTTGCACACTCCAGTTTTAGTAATTAAACCCCATTGCATGTTTTGGTTCAGTTATTGAGTTCAACACATAAATAGCAATCGCACATCTCATTTGCAGGAAAGCAATACAATTTTCTAAACATTCTAAACTGTAAGACCTGCAGTTAAATTTTGGGCACCAATTCACAAAAAGAACATTGGGGAACTGGAGAAAGTACAGAGAAGGGCAACCAAACTGATAAGAGGCATGGAGGAGCTCAGCTATGAGGAAAGATTAGAGGAACTGAATTTATTCTCTCTTGAGAAGAGGAGATTAAGGGGGGATATGATCAACATGTATAAATACATCAGTGGTTCATATAGTGAACTCGGTGTAGAGCTATTCACCCTGAGGTCATCACAGAGGACAAGGGGGCACTCTTTACATCTGGAGGAAAAGAAATGTAATCTCCAAACACGGAAAGGTCTCTTCACAGTGAGAGCTGTGAAAATGAGGAATAGACTCCCTCAAGAGTTGGTTCTAGCCAGCTCAGTGGATTGCTTTAAAAAAAAGGCCTCGATTCTTTCCTAGATACACAGAATATAACTGGATACTAACATTTATAGGTAAAGTTTATCCAGGGAATATCCGATTGCCTCTCAGGGGATCAAGAAGGAATTTTTTCCCCTGCAGGAGCAAATTGGTTCATGCTTTGTTGGGTTTTTTTGCCTTCCTCTGGATCAACTGTGGGTATAAGATTATAACTTTTTTTTTTTAAATGGTTGAACTGGATGGAATTTTGTCTTTTTTCATCCAGACTAACTATGTAACTATTCCACACTAGTGTAAAAGTCTTTAAAAAGAAAACCTATAGTCAAAAATAAGCAAATAAATTATCTATATTATTTATTGGAATCAAACATTTTTTTTTCAGTTTCCTAATGTGCAACTGTGCACCTACACCTTTACGTGAACCTGCACTTTGCCCATATCTGGAAAAGTAAAAGGTTTTCTTTTCTCTAGGTAGCAAACGCAGAACATATTTTCACTCACTCCTCTTATCAGCTGCCAGCCCACCAAGATGTACTTGGTACTTCCAGAAACAGGGGACGCATAACACCCCCCTTCTTGCCAATCACCAGAGCAAAGTCTTACTGCACAGCACGAAGAGGGAGATTTACTAAAACTCAGAATCTGGCGCAGCTGTGCATGGTAGCCAATCAGCTTCTAACTTCAGCATCTTAAATTAAGCTTTGACAATAAATCCTGAAAGCTGATTGGCTCCCATGCACAGCTGCACCAGATTTTTTATACTCTCCAGTTTTAGTAAATCAGCCCAGTGTGCACAGCTCCTGTGTAAGCTCAGCAAATTAATACTTTCACAGTAACTTTTATTGAAGGCAAAACAGTTTTTTTTTTAGTTTCGGTTAGAAAGGGCTTGGAACACTTTTATGGTATATATTGCTGTCTGTGCTCCATTTCTGCAGCATTTTGCATTTTGAAGAAACGCAAGTACAGTCCAATTAACATGATTTCCTATGGGACATGTTCACATCTCAGCGTTTTCACCCAGTGCGTTTTTTTGGAAAGGGTCAGGGATATTTTTGAACGCAAAAAATAGTGTTTTTGGTTCCACAGACTTCAATGGAAATGCTGCAGAAAAGCATGTATTGCGTTTTTGCTGCGTTTTAAATCTGCCTAGCAACAAGAAAAATTAAAAAATTAAAAAACCCCCAGCAAAATGCATCAAAAACGTGGCAAAAACGCAACTGCAAAAATGCAAAACGCAATGCAGAAATGGCTCAAACATAACCTGCATAAGTGTCAACCTAGCCTTAGTGAGAGTCACACTCTCTATTTGTCCTGTTTACTATTATCATCAAAAGCGAAAGTATAGAAAACCCCAAATTTTGGGTTGTCCCCAGAAAAGTAATGGAGGGGGAATTTTGCCATGGGGACACTAGTTCTGGTGACTTGGGGGTCCCCAAGAGATTCCCTTAATTTGTGTGGATTATCTCTCATTTTTTTGTTTTGGTTTTGGGCGGACTGACCATTTGGAAACTCGGGCACTGCCCGAGGGCCGGGGTCAGTAGGAGGCCCCATGAGATGCCCCTGGTATCTTTTTCATAGGCTTTTTTGAGTTTGGGCAATGACACAGGGGCCCCATGATCCCCTATTGCCTGGGGGCCCCATGAGTTGTCAGTCCGCCCCTGGTCACAGCGATAACTCCACTCAATCAAAGGGTCTGAGGGATGTGTTGTAGTTGTGTTGGAATGTGTTTTATTATCCTCAGTGGACTCATCCTAAATTCCAGTTATCCTGGGTACAGCTATACTTATTGCAATGTTTTTAATAAATGTTTTCAACTGTACATGACAACACAGCAAACTCTGTACTTCTGCGCTTCAGGATGGACTCGGCTAGGGCTGTGGTAACATCACAGATATCCTGGAAAATGCACTCCTTGCTGCCCTCAACAGACTGGGGTAGTCCAATGTCACTGGATACAAAGAAAAACAAACAGAGGGCGCAACAGCCTAGTGCATTATTGTAAACTATGTATTGGAAGGATAAAAAGTAAGTATCGTACTCACAATAGGCAAACAGGTCAAAGGCACACTAAGCAGCGGTGTCCAGTCCACATAGCATATAAGTACAAAGAAATGAAACCCTGGACTTCCGACAGGCTAACGCATTTCGAGGTCTCAACCTCTTCCTCAGAGCAACCCAGTAGTTGTGTTGGAATGTGTTTTATTATCCTCAGCAGACTCATCCTTAATGTCAATAATCCTGGGTACAGCTATATTTATTGTAATATTTTAATAAAGGTTTTCAATAGTACATATCATTTGTTCTATATATGTTGCAGGTACAAATAGAACAAAACACATATAGAAAAACAGAAATAAACATCTCCCACGTATAGGGACAGGGGTGCAGTATACAAATATTGACAGCAATTTTGCTCTTAGTTAATGCACCTTGTGAACAGGTCAATCTGCACATTAGTGGGAGCACCCGTTCACTAAACCAATCAAAACCTAGAAGGGCTATATGAATAAGGAAGTGAAGAAGTAGGATGCTCATATTCTTAAAAGAGGGAAAGAGAAGAAGAAAAGGGAAAGAAGGGAAAGAGAGGGGAGGATGTTCCAGTGACCTAGTAGGAAGATCCATCCTTTCTTAGTCCACAGGAGAGATGTTTTGAATCCAGGGTTCCCATGTTTTCTGAAAGTTAGTAGTATTATTATGGAGGGTACAAGTGAGTTTACCATTCACAATAATCCAGTTTAATTTATGTTTAACATAATCTAAGTGCACCACTGCTGTCTTCCAACAACGTGCTATTGCGATTCATGCTGCCAAGAGCATATAAAGTATAAGCCTTTTTAGGTCATTCTGGGATATCAGGATCTAATTTCTGGAAAAAGGCAATTTCTGGGGCCCAAGTAAGGTTAACATCCATTTGTATCCAAAATTGGGACACCTTGCAGCTTTGCCACCACACATGAAACATTGCTCCCAGTTGACTGCATTTGCAAAAACAGTTCAGAGACGCAGTCGGGTGCATCTTTAGTTTGTTGGTAGTTGGTACCAAGTAAAGGGTTTTGCAATTGGATTCTATCAGGATAACATTAATTAAAATCTTAGATAAGTTGTTTGCTATCAGACTGAATGTTGCTCCACTTCCTTAAACTGAACACCACCCCCCATTGACTTCTCCATCACATCCAACAACGCCACCATCAAACCCGCCCCGCAGGCCAGAGTACTTGGTATAATTCTGGAGTCCAACCTATCCTTCCAGCCCCAAGTCCAATCTTTAACAAACTCGTGCAGACTCCACCTCCGCAACATCGCCAAAATACGCACGTTCCTAAGTCCAGAAACCACTAAACAGCTCATCCACTCCCTCATCATATCACGACTCGACTACTGCAACTCCCTCCTACTGGCCTGCCTCGCCGCTGGCTATCCCTGCTTCAATCGATCCTGAATACGGCTGCCAGACTCATTCACCTTTCCAACCGCTCCATTTCCGCCACCCCCCTCTGCCAATCCCTCCACTGGCTTCCGATTGCGCAACGGATCAAATTCAAAATCCTAATACTGACGTACAAAGCCGTCCACCATACTGCCCCGAACTACATCACTGACCTAATATCCAAGTACCACTCAGCACGCACACTCCGCTCCTCACAAGACCTCTTTCTCTCTAGTTCCCTGGTCTCCTCCTCCCATGCCCACCTCCAGGACTTTTCCAGGGTGTCACCCATCCTCTGGAACTCCCTGCCCCAACCCATCAGATTATCACCTACTCTCCTCTCCTTTAGGTGCACCCTGAAAACCCACCTCTTCAGGGAAGCCTACCCCACCCCTGCTAACTTGACAACCTCCTCCACTCTTCCTATCACCCCATCCCCCACAGCTATCTCCTCCTGTGCCACCATCCCCTCCCTCCTAAATTGTAAACTCGAAAGAGCAGGGCCCTCTATCCCCTCATGTTTTGCATTGTATTGTTGTTGTTCTGTCACATGTTCTGTCCCCATTTGTAATGTAAAGCGCTGAGCGAACTATTGGCGCTTTATAAATACTGTATAATAATAATAGTAATAATAATAATGTGCTGCCAGTCCGACAAATCCCAGGAAATCTGTAAATCCCTCCCCCATAGTGTCATATAGGGAAGCTTACAGTCCCTCAGAATAAGATAAACCATGAAGAGTTGCTCCTTGGGCCAGTCTGTCGACCTGCAGGACAGCTCAAATGAAGTCAACATGGGAGAGCCAAACACTAAACAAAGCTTGGTTTGTAGAAAATATGTTGTCTGATTGTATCTGAAAAGCTCAGAGGGGGGCCTATGCAGGGGTGTCCTGAAAGTGAGCTAGGGTATATGGCGTATTGCCATTTAAAAGATCTCCAATCCAAATAAAACCTTTATTCTTTCACCAAGAGAATTGAGAGGAATACATCCCCGGTTCAAACTCCAGATTATTAAATATTGGGGCAAGAGGGGATATGGGGAGAAGAAAGGGGCCGCCAAGATTTCAACTTATTCCAGATAGCTGGACAAGGCAAGGCACAAGATAGGAGGACGCAACCTGGTAGGAATCCACATGAGGACCTTAATTTGGCAACGGGGACATGCCAATGCTTCAATTGAGACCCACTGGGGTATAGGTCCCACTGCAGTGATGTAAGCCAACTGAGCAATTTGTGCAGCCTGGTAATAGGCTAAAAGATTTGGAAGGCCCAACCCACCCTGGGATTTGGGTGTATACATCGTTAGAGAGTTCATCCTAGGATGTTTACCACCCCAAATAAATTGGGAAATCTTGTTTGGAAGTCTCAAAAAATCTTGTCTGGGAGGTACAGCTATATTTTCATATGACAAGATTTTACTATCCAACAACCAGCATAGTATGTAGCAAAATGAAATTATGATTTGTTAGATACCAGATATGTTATACATTTGATGTATATTCCTCTCAGGAAACCAAATGTGTCTTTTTAGCCTTCTGGACCTTACAATATAGGCATGTTTGCTGTTTAACTGAGTGTTATCTTGACTTTCACACTTAACCCATTTTGCTTGAGGTGATTGTAGCCGTATTAGTGCATTTGCGACAGAAACAATTGAGTACTGTCCGTGATACTTTTTTTATTTGCACTAACATACAATTTTGAGGACAAGCTTTCGTGGTATGTCCCCTTCTTCAAGGTCCAAGCAGTACTATTACAAATCACAAAGTTTAAGCAGAATGTTAGAAGGGATCGAAAAAAAAAAAAAAAAAAAAGGCTACAGATAAGATACATCAAAAGCAAGGGGGGGGGATAGTACACTCACACAGAGGGGGTCAAGCTTCAGCTAATAGATAGTCATAAAACTGTTGGATAATGGTTGAGGAATCCCATGTCCAAGTTAAGGCCGTTATCTTTTGTGTCAAATAGAATTACCATCCTTAGTTCAAATGTTTTTCTTTCCTGGATGGATTTGAATTTTCCTTTCAGAACTAAAACATTGAGGTCTTCCATATTGTGGCCTGATTGTGTGAAATGGTGTCTTACAGGTGTGCAGAGGTCATCTTCTTTATGTTCCTTGATGGTATGTCTGTGCAAATTCATCCTTGTTTGCAACTTCTGTCCTGTTTTGCCAAAATAAGATCCTTTGCTGCATTTTCTGCACTGGATAAGGTATACAACATTACTGGAGGTGCAGCTGTATGATCGGAGAAATTGAAGATCCCTTTTAAGTGTCTGACACTTTTTGATGGATTGATTTGGTTGCACAGCTTGCAGCGTTTCTTATTGCAGGGTGTGCTTCCATTATTTGTGACATAATCAGAACATTCTGCTTAAACTTTGTGATTTGTAATAGTACTGTTTGGACTTTGAAGAAGGGGACATACCCCGAAAGCTTGTCCTCAAAATTGTATGTTAGTGCAAATAAAAAAGTATCACGTCAGTACTCAATTGTTTCTGACACTTAACCCAGTAAGAGAATACTTCTTGCCTTTCTCCATCTCTTAAGCCTTTCTGGGTGACATTGTGATGACATTAGGAGCATGAGAGGCTCCGATGACTCTCCAGCACCTGGCGGTCAGGTGGCAGTGGGAAGATTCAACTTTGGAGTGGAGACAAATAGGTTATATCACCTGAGTAGGGTCTTCATTACTTTACATTTCTACATTAGTGTCCCATGTTTTAGGAAGGTAACTCAATTACCATATGGGTTATAGAATATTAATCAGAGTAAGAGTTTGAAATGTATGTAACTTCAGCTCTAGGTCAATATACCAGACTCACAGATGCAAATTTCTTAAGCTGCTCTGTAGACTGTTTATGACTTAACGATTTATGACAGGAGCTCATTAGAAGTTCTTTGAAGATCTTTGAAAAGTATAATTTGGATGTTCTGCATTCTGGCTAATCTAGGCTGTAATTTGTCAAATGTGTCACCTTCCCTGGCTGCCTAGCATAACCATAAGATTTAATTATGACCGTTTTTGTTACTTACTTGCCAGTTATGGGGAAAACTAGGGTGGCAAGGCATTCTCTACTACTCTTTCATTCTCTCTATATAGTTTGTGGTTCTTCAGAGACAAGTGGCAGCAAGAAGATTGCAGAGGAAGAAAGGCATGTCAGCCTGCCATGCCCTGCCTGACCTCATAGGTAGACTTACAAAGCACGTAGGAATATGGAGCGAAGTACTACATTTGCTTTGCCCTCTGGAAGAAAGGAAACTAAATTATAAGCAGCACCTAAATATATGCCATTTGGAAATATAGAAGGATAAGCCTTATTGTTTTCATTTTCTGATCTGCATATGTGAAACTACTCTTTCAAAGTGCTCATTGTTTTCGCTCAGCTTCAAAAAAGTGTGGAAGAGATAGTTACAAGGGGTCACAGTCCAGTTCTTCCGGAGAAAAATACAGGCATTACAGAATAAAGGAAATAACAACCTGTAAAAGAGAAGTGTAAAAGCATACCTACAGACAGAATCTGAGCTCAGATGCGAGGGAGGACAGACAAAGACATCTGATACTTAACTGACATCATGTGGGTTTTAACGCATCTATTGATCTTCATGCTGAACTATCTTAGCTTTGCTGAGGACTCCTGTCCAGGTAAGTTCCTAAGGGTGGCCCTAAAGGGCTCAGCGTCACCATAGATCAACCCAATGTGATACTTGGGTGATGATCATGCATTTATAGCTACCCTAGGGATTGACAATGAGCTTTTCCAACTACAGTAAGCATTCATTATTGATAACAAAAAAATCCAATATATTTGAAAATTTTATAGTACCTGGCTGATATATTCTTCCTTTCAGTGACAAACAGAGAGGAAAAGTGTTTACTGTACATGCCCCTGTAATCCATTAGATATGAAACTGCGGTGAATTCTGTCACACAGATGGCAGTCATTCATCGTCATTCATCTGCCAATCTGTGGCCAGCCCAGGGGCGGACTGACCATTGGGGAACTCGGGCACTGCCCGAGGGCCCGGGGTCAGTAGGAGGCCCCATGAGATGTCCCTGGTACCTTTCATAGGCTTTTTTGGGTGTGATTTGAGTGTGGGCGAAGACACAGGTGCCCCATGATCCCCTATTGCCCGGGGGCCCCATGAGTTGTCAGTCCGCCCCTGGGCAAGCCTAAAGCAGGCCATACATGTCATGTTGATTGCACAATGTCTATACAATCTTCTTTAGATTTACCAAAGTATGTGGTATGAGGGCCTGGCTGAATAATCCATTTCATTCCTATCAGATTTTATTCATAGGCAAATAACATTCTGAGTACAATTAAGTATATGTATATGCAGGGCTTTTTTTCAGTGGGAGCACAAGGGAACGCAGTTCCGGCACCTCCAGCACCTCTAGTACTGAATGTAGGTTATGGCAAGGAGTGCTGGAGTGTCTATTGTTGCTGGCTATTAGGAGTTCTCTTGTCACTGGGAGAAATGTATTCTTCCTGGGGAGGTCTGTTGTTGTTGGTGGGGGATCTACAGTATTGTTGCTTGAAGGGTTGAATGTTGCTGGGAGGGATCTCCTCTTTATGGAAGGGTCTATTGTTGCTGCCTGCTGGAGGTACTATTGATGCTAGCTACTGGAAGATCTATTGTTACTAGTGGTAGTCTGTTGTTGCTGGGGTGGATCTATTGCTTCTGGGAGGTATTTTGTTGCAGGCAGTATTTTGTTTAGGGGGGGTCTATTGCTGCTGGGAAGGTTTGTTGTTGCCAATTGGAATCTACTGTTGTCCTTTGGGGTTCTATTGTTTCAGTTGGGTGTATTTTTGCTTGGGGAGGGGTTGTTTTTGCTAGTAGGAAATTGCTGGAAGGATCTATTGGTTCCCCCCCTTCAACAACAGACCCCCCCATCTATTGTTGCTCGGGGGAGCTATTGTTGCTGGCTATAGTGGATCTATTTTACTAATTTTTTGTTATTAAAAATTTCCATACAAGTTACTTAGCACCACAAAATGATACTTGGTTCTGTATTCTCTAAAAGGGGCATCAAAAGGAATCAGGAGGAGGAGCTGGGAGATGGGTAGGGGGCAGAGACAAGGGGTGACCCAGAAAGGGGGAGTACCTGCACCTATTTTCTAAGAAAAAAGCCCTGTGTATATGTATATGTACATAAATAGCATTTAAAGTAAATAAAAGTTGAGCAGTATTTTGTTGCTCACCCCTTCCTATATAACTGTTGAGTTTTGAATGTTTAATTCAATTCTTACACTTACTGAATCAGCTTCTGATCTGCCACTTTTGCAGCCACCTTGGTGATTTAATAAGGGTATGGAAGGCTTACATGGTAGTGCTACATCCCAGCTCAGGGATTTACTGTAAATGCTAGGAAGGAAACATTTTGGTGTTTCCATTTGGTTGTTCGCCATGGGGGGCAGACATATGGAAATTGCTTGCGGGGTTCATTAACTTGTCTGATGTCAGGACATTCCTCGTGCTAAGGCTTGGGAGGGAGAGATAATATCTTTTTGGATTCTGTTGCACCTGGTGTGGTACTCTTACCGTGTTCTCCATATCTGGATCTTCTCTTCTGTTTTTTTGGTATTGTCCTGTGGGAGTAGCCTCTCCAAAGCAATCCAGCTTAAATATAAAAAATGCAGCCATTTATCATTTTAATTTTGATTATGGGACACTAGCACCTCTTATGCATGTATTTAGGAGGTACTGTATAATCATGACACTTTAAAACAACTTAAAATTTGTCCTTGTTTCTCTTGTGATCTCTGTAGAGATAAAAGTTGTTGGAGTTGGAGACTCAGACAAGTTGACCATTCTCAGAGGTTGTCCTGGTCTTCCAGGCCCAGCTGGACACAAAGGAGAGCCTGGACTACAGGGGCAGAAAGGTTTGTAGAGGGTCCAGCAGAAGGTTGTGTGAAAGATAAAAAAAAAGCAAATCAGTTTTTTCCCATCTTCATCTCTTCCCTCCTGCTTCACTTCCTTTACTTTTCTACCTCTTTATGTCCTCATCTCAGAGCTTTTCCACTCATGCCTTTACTGGTCCTGGGGCCCCTATTATATATGTTCTATTTACTGTGGTCACAATTCTAGGGACCATCTTTGAATGCTGTTACTGTATATTGTTGGTGTAATTTGTTTTTGATTGGTTTTATACCTAATATTGTTTAATTTTCTGTGGCCCCTACATGGGTGTTTCAGCTGCTATTTCTCCTTTTTGTAAGACATTGAAAATAACAGAAAAAACAAATCAAGTTCCATGGTGTACACATTGTATTGTTTTTTTATTGTTGATGCCCTTGGGTTGCAGCATTATGTATATTGCTGCATGACAGAAATAAAAAGTCTGCTTATCCCTTTAGAAACTGTTGCTCAACTGCCATACTTATCCCTTAGCATGGGTCAAGCACATAGATCAGAAGTTCTTGCTTAACTGGCTACATGTTTATTCCGGGTCAGGAAGTTTCAAACCCAACAACAGTGAAACAAATAGCATTCTAAGAGGAGGGTCAGCAATACTAGGCCTTGTATGTTTATAATTTAAGAAAATCCATCCTCTCCCAATGGAGAAGTTGGAGGAGTTACTGCAAGAGAAATATGAAACTAAAAGGACACCTGAGAGGAAAGGCTTCAATATGTTTGGACTTTCTGACCAAGAGTAAGTAAAGACAAAATGAAATAAAAAAGAGATATCTCTGCTGCTATGAAAATTATGAACAAAGGAATAAGGAGAAAAGTTGTTGACTCAGAAATTATTGAAGGCATATCAGTGGCATGTAAATTCCTCAATTGCCTCTATTGTTCTTGAAAGCACTCATAATACCTTACAGAGCATACACTTTCCTTGTCCCTTGCCCCCCCCCCCCCCCCGACACCTCCCAGACCATTGTATTTCATAGTTTATGTATGCCAGACCCCCTCCAAATCCTGATGTTACCAGGTGCCCCAGGCCTACAAACAATCAGCCTTACTCGGCAAAGAATTCCAGTTCTGAATTCTTAAGTGCAGCCATCAACCTCTAGCAACCAATTAGCTTTCACTGTTTTAATGTAAGACCATTACAGTTTGCCCAATAGCAAGTCAGGTTGTCTGAGTTGAAAGTCAATAGACTCAAAAGCTGTCACAGGGATGGGTGCTCTGTGCAAGTGCCAACCAAGACCAATACTAGACTTACTTCAATGGGAAGCTCTGGCAGGCAAATGAGGTGGTGGAGGAGCATGAGAAGGGTAAATATCTGCATACGGGATGGGCTACCAAGCAAACCTATTACTTTGCAAACAAGGAGCAAGTCCACCCTCCCTAGCCTAATCTAAGCTTGATCCCTACTTTCTTCCCCACACATACCCAGGTGCCTTCTTACCTTCTTCTTGACATCAGTGGCTGCTTCCTGCAGCTTGAAATCTTCTCTGGCTCTGGCAGTGCCTCCTCATTCAAGAATGCACAAAACACCCTTAAAATCACCTACATACGCTATGCTCATGTTTGAATAGGGGGTAAGCCTCCATGCTCTAGCATGGGCCATACTCCTAGTGTCAGTAGCATATCAAATTCTCTTAAACCAAGGAATTGTGAACAAGGAAGTCATAGAACTTTTTAATTTTTATATAAGGTGTAGTATTTATGGAGAAGAGCCTTTGTATGTCTCTTCAGCTGTAAAATCTTTCCCCTTTCTGCTAGCAGTTTGTTTTTAGAAATTGTATACAGATAGCCACGTAGTATGTATAAGATGCTGGGAATAAGGCTGGCCAAATATGGATACATTTTTTTAGGTCAGCCCAGGGGCGGACCAGACCATTTGGAAACTCGGGCACTGCCCGAGGGCCTGGGGTCAGTAGGGGGCCTCATGAGATGCCCCTGGTACCTTTTTCATAGGCTTTTTTGAGTTTGGGCAAGGACACAGGGGCCACCATGATCCCCTACTGCCCAGGGGCCCCATGGGTTGTCAGTCCGCCCCTGGTTCAGCCAGAAGGCTGAATGAAAAAAAAATGGATTCCTCCATCAATACAAGTAAGTAGGATGGAGGAATCCCCCCCAGTGAGTCATTGGGATTGTTTTACTAAAATTGGAGAGTGCAAAATCTGGTGCAGCTGTGCATGGTAGCCAATCAGCTTTCAACTTCAGCTTGTTCAATTAAGCTTTGACAGTGAAACCGGGACCTGATTGGTTTCTTTGCAGAGCTACATCAGATTTTGCACTCCAGTTTTGGTAAATCAACTCTAAAGTATTCTGATAGTGTGGACTATCCGCTGTAAGAATACACTAATTAGTAGCTAAAGTCGCTGAATGAGAAAATTTTCCAATCAGCCCATTGATTGTTAGAGCTCCGACCAGAAGTGGCCACACATGGAGTGAAATTCGGCTGGTTCCTGCTGAACCAGCTGAATTTTGATCCAGTTACTTCCAATTTAACACTCTGCGATTATTGTTTATATTCAACTGTTGATATTTTCTTTTCTCTTTCTACTTTTATGGTTGGTTTACCAACATCACTATCAGGACAAGTCGGAGAGCCAGGCATAGCCGGTCTACCTGGGCAGAAAGGTTGGTGTCAAATCCATCATTTATAAACAAGTGTAAATGTGGTTAGAGGAAAATCTTAAATTCATCTAAAGCTGTTTCTAACAGAGGTTTTCCATTTTCAGACAAGAAGTAGAAAACTTGTCCACATGCTCCCTAACACTTAAATCATAAATATAAATTAGTGTAGCGCTAAAAATGCACAAACTATTATAATCCAATATATTGACTTTGTGATAAATACTATAATCTTCTCAGTGTTCTTATTTATCTTACTACATATATATATATTCCAAATCCCCAAAATCAATACAAACTCCTATTGCATTAATTAAATAAACATATAAATAATGTGATAGTGCCGCTTCAAAACAATATAAATCAATATCATGTGATGGTGCCACTTCAACTTAATACAACGTCCAATGTCCAAATCCAAACAAATCTATTCCAAGTGATATTTAAATACATGCAATGTGTCTTTATATATCAAGTGCCACTCGTGAATAAACCACACTCTATCCACTTCAGCTGCAATGCCCGCTCACCTCCTTTCAGTGACCCCTAAGGGCCCACAAGCCTTTAGGATCACTTTGGATCCTCAAGAATCCTGGTTTGGTACCTCTCAGATATTCTTCCTATTTGGCCTCCTCCACACCTCCACTGCTGTGCCTCATAGGATCCTCACCAGCGATTCTCTGCAAACTCTCTCTCACAAATAGTGAGTCAAAAACAGAGATCCTCCATAGTGTAGTATTTCCAATAACCAGGGTTTAATTGTAGAAGTAACAAAAGGTAACTTACATGTGTTTGTACAGCGATTCTTCTGTCCCTCAGTTATTGGAAATACTACACTACAAAAGAGTTCATTAGCTCAGGCTGAGATTTACACCTACAACTGACTGGCCTGGATTCTGAGATTTTTCATTTTCAATTGAGGGAGGGTCAGCTAAAGGGCCAGATGTAGCCCATGGGTTGTAAAATGCTCAGGTCTGTGATAGAGGTTAGGGGAAGGAGGCAAGAGAGAGCGTGATGGTAAAGTGGGTAAAGGTCTGCTTTAAAGGTGGGTAAAGTGGGTAAAGGTCTGTATTTGGTACTTGTAGCCTTGTATTATACTATTATAATACACCTCACCCCCTCAGTCTCTGTCCGAATCACACACTCCCCTTCCTTAAACTGAACCTCTCCAAAACCGAGTTTCTTGTCTTCCCCCCAGCCCGGACACCCCCCCATTGACTTCTCCATCACATCCAACAACGCAACCATCAAAATCCGCCCTGCAGGCCAGAGTACTTGGTGTCATTCTGGACTCCAACCTATCCTTTCAGCCCCAAGTCCAATTTTTAACAAACAGACTCCACCTCCGCAACATCGCCAAAATCCGCACGTTCCTAACCCCAGAAACCACTAAACAGCTCATCCACTCCCTCATCATATCACGACTCGACTACTGCAACTCCCTCCTCACTGGCCTGCCTCGACGCTGGCTATCCCCGCTTCAGTCTATCTTGAATACGGCTGCCAGGCTCATTCACCTTTCCAACCGCTTCGTTTCCGCCACCCCCCTCTGCCAATCCCTCCACTGGCTTCCGATTGCGCAACGGATCAAATTCAAAATCCTAACTCTGATGTACAAAGCTGTCCACCATACTGCCCCGAACTACATCACTGTCCTAACATCCAAGTACCGCCCAGCACGCACACTCCGCTCCTCACAAGACCTCCTTCTCTCTAGATCCCTGGTCTCCTCCTCCCATGCCCGCCTCCAGGACTTCTCCAGGGTGTCACCCATCCTCTGGAACTCCCTGCCCCAACCCATCAGATTATCACCTACTTTCCTCTCCTTTAGGCACACCCTGAAAACCCATCTCTTCAGGGAAGCCTACCCCACCCCACCCCCTGCTAACTTGCCAACCTCCTCCACTCTGCCTACCACTCCATCCCCCACAGCTATCTCCTCCTGTACCACTGTCCCCTCCCTCCTAGATTGTAAGCTCCAAAGAGCAGGGTCCTCGAACCCCTCATGTTTTGCATTGTATTGGTATTGTTCTGTCACATGTTCTGTCCCCCTTTGTAATGTACAGCGCTGAGCGAACTATTGGCGCTTTATAAATACTGTATATAATAATAATAATAATAATAATTATGCTTCTTCTGACCTCTGTATGTACAGTATGTATGTACTGTATGTATGTATGTACTATATGTATGTATTGAGACATGTCTGAATAACAAATAAAAAAGATATTTTTCTCCTTAAACAACCAGAGCAGTGTAGGGTTAGCTGCTTTGTAGCCCATGTTACAATATGCCATGTTTTCAGAAACGGGATTGGAAGGAAGCACCTTTATCCTCTTGTGGTGTAGTTATGTCACTATGTTGCTCCCCATTTGTAGCTGCATGGACTATGACAGGGATGCTCAACCTGTGGCCCGTAAGCAACACGTGGCCCTCAGAGCCCTCTGATGTGGCCCTCAACCTCAAACTGATGTAGCAGTTTTGGTACACTTTCAGAAGTGCACCACATGTGCAAGAAATAATAGTAGTCTATGGCAGAGCGCAGCTAATCCGCAGGAAAGCTGCAGATACACTGTGCTGCTCCCAGGGTGCAGGTACACCGCAGCACATCAATGTGAAAGCAGCTTTATAGGAGGCTTAGGACAGTAATGGCTTGTTTACGTTTGTGGTTTAGACTTTTTTTAAAACTACCCCCACCCCCAATTCACTGGTGTAGCATCTGGGGTCGCAATGACGACACCAACCCATTCTCCAGGGGGCCTGTGTGTGGCCCCCCTCTCACATTCTATTTTACACATAGAACAAGGGGGGTGGCTTATACAGGAACTGATCTTCTCAATTTTCTCCTTGCAACCGCTTCACAACGTCGCCTCCTCTCTATCCTGCTGGCATTCAGTGGCTGCAGGAGGAAAATGTTCATTATGCTATTCAAGATAAAAAATGTGAAAGAGCAGACAGGTGGCGCAAACACCTAATGCATTATCCAAGATTTATTCAAAAGTATAAAAGACAAAAACTTACTCACAGACATAGCATGTATATAAAGCTTTGCATAATGGAGATGGCCACAACAATGGGCAAGGTGTTCCGAATGTCAGTGTGGTCAGGTTGCTGACACATTTCGGGAACAAATCCCTTTCCTCAGAGCTACTGGTTCCCTTGGCCTCCCTTTGGCAATTTATTTCTTGGATCGCTGGAGAGTACACAATTTAAAAAAATGTGAAACTCTGAACCATTTTATTTCATTGTGCTCCACAATCGGTTTACAAATCCCAAAGTGGTCCTCACTCTTTAAAGGGTTGAGCACCCCTGGATTATGATGAAGAATACAGAAAGAGTAGCTCTCCTTCTATGATGACTACATAATGCATTTCTATAGGAAAAATCATACCAGCAATCCAGACCAGGAAAACTATTTTCCTACCATGCTGTACAGTTTATGGTTGTATTTTCTTTCTCAGTTGCTAGAAATTGCAAAGATCTTCAGATTTATGGAGAAGTGCTGAGTGACTGGTACACAATATACCCGGATGGCACACAGCCGCTGAAAGTCCTGTGTGATATGCATACAGATGGAGGTGGATGGATAGTGAGTATAACCATATACCATTTATATACAGAGGTACTATAAGAGGTCACTGGGTGCCACATCTCAACATATGGTGCAAATAAAAAAAAAGTTATACAGAGATGGGCTTTTAGGGCACCACACCAAAAAACATACCCAACACATTTGTATAAAAAGTGTTATAAAACTTATTAGAACATCCTTAAAATGTTCTTTACCCAGAAGCAAAAAAATGAATTATGAGAAATTTGTTCACCACTCCATACCATCTGTCACACTCTTATTATCATAAACAATGATAGTTGCAGACTGAGCACACATATCTTCAATGTATGGTCCTCAACATCTAGAAGTTGAAGTCTCAACACGTTTCATGGTTGTAAACGCTGCTTCATGAGGAGCTTAGTATGGAGGGATCTATGATGAATATGGAATTGTAAAAACTCTCTCTCTCTCTCTCTGTATATATATATATATATATATATATATATATATATATTCAATTATTTTATTGAATAAATGCATATATTTGGAGTTTTTACAAGGAAGAGGCATTAACGGCTGCAAAAAGGATTGAGTCTGCAACCTCTGGATATTGTGGGCTGTACATTGAAGATCTGTATATATCATTTACAGCTAAAGGGTGACTCCAGCCAAATTGCTAAATGCAAATGCATGTCAGGGCAGGAGCTGAAGAACGGACAGGCAGGCCCAATAACAAGGTAACGCACTGGCTGACGACAACCACCACCCACAGACCGAAGTCCCTCAGGGCGTGGAGTCTAAGTCCCAGGCTGCCCTTCACCAGGGCCCCTGATGGTGGGGATGGACTTGACGCAGCCAGGAACCAGGTCGCGACCCCCGAGACACCTCAGTTGCAGTAATGGCCGCCGCCAATGGTGTGTAGCTGGTGGAAAAGACAATAGAGTAGTCAGGCAGGCCGGGTCGACAACAACGGGACAAAACGGTACAGGACAGCAGACAAGAATCACAGGTTACGAGCCGGGTTCAGCAACAGAGGGTCAGATCAAAGGAGAACACAAAGAATAGTCAAGTCACTAGCTGAGTCAGATTCCAGGAGAGTCACGAGAGTCAGAACAGAGTAATAGCAACACAAAGACACAAGACACAAGTGCAAAGAGCATGTGCGGACCACAGGCTTATATGTCATCAGCCACACCCCTCTGGAGGATGGACCTCAGAGACCTGAAGGCATAAAAGATTCCCACCATGCTCAGCAGAAATCCAAAATGGATGCCAGCACATGGAGTAACATAACCTCTGGGAAAAGGTAGGACCTTGACAGTACCTCCTCCTCAAGGGCCCCTCCCCCTCCCCCTCAACAAAAGGTTTCTGAGGAAAGCGGGTATGAAAAGCGCGGAGGAGGGCAGGAGCATGGACATCTGTGGAAGGAACCCAGGAACGCTCCTCGGGACCATAACTGCGCCAATGAACCAGGAACTGTAATCGACCGTGCACCAATCGAGAGTCCAGGATCTGGCTCACCTCATACTCCTCATGACCGTCAACCCGGATGGGACGGGGCCGAGGCAGAGAGGTAGTGAAGCGATTGCAGATCAGAGGTTTCAACAGGGATACATGAAAGATATTGGAGATCCACATCCCAGGCGGAAGGGCAAGGGCATAGGCCACCGGATTCACCTTGCGGAGAATGCGAAAAGGACCAACAAAACATGGAGCTAGTCTGAGTGTGGGCACCCGAAGATTGAGGTTGCGAGTAGACAACCACACCCGATCGCCGACCTGGTATGAAGGAGCGGGCAACCGTCTGCGATCAGCCTGGAACTTCTGGCACTGAGCTGAGTCCCTCAAGGCCCTCTGGATCTGCCCCTATGAAGAACGCAGGGCAGCAAGATGGTTCTCCACAGCCGGAATGTCCTGTGGTGAGAACCTCTCAGGTAATACCGCGGGTTGGAACCCATAGTTGGCGATGAAGGGAGACATCCCGGAGGAGGAGTTGACCGCCGAGTTTCTGGCAAACTCTGCCCAAGGCAGGAGATCGGCCAAATCGTCCTGATGGTCCGAGATATAACACCGAAGGAATTGTTCTAAGGCCTGATTGGAACGCTCCGCAGCCCCATTGGACTGCGGGTGGTAGGCTGAAGAAAAGGAGAGACTAATACCCACTGGGAGCAGAAGGCGTGCCAGAATCTGGACACGAACTGACTCCTGCGGTCCGAGACAATCACCTTGGGCAACCCATGCAGGTGAAAAATCTCCCTGGAAAAGACCGTGGCCAGTTCTTGCGCTGTTGGTAATTTCCTGAGTGGAATACAATGGCACATCTTGGAAAAGCGATCGACGACCATGAGAATGACCGTATGACCCCGAGACACCGGGAGGTCTACAATAAAGTCCATACCCAGGTGTGACCAAGGACGCTCCCCATTGTGAATGGGTTGCAGGAGACCCAATGGGAGATGCCGTGGAGACTTATTCTGGGCACAGATCGAACATGCCGCTACATAAGAGGCAATGTCGGTACAGAGAGTAGGCCAACAGAATAAACGAGAGACGACCCAGCACAACTGGTTCCTCCCCGGATGCCCGACAGTTTTGGAGTTATGGTAGGTACGCAGCAGGTGGGTGCGCAAACATCTCGGGTATGAAACATCTACCCTCCGGCCTGTCGGAAGGAGCGTCAGTTTGAGCCGCCAAAATCTGCTCCCCAAGAGGAGAAGTCAGACTGGTGCGAATGGCAGCCAGGATCTGATCTGGAGGTATAACCGAGGTTGGCTCAGAGTCCTCCCTGGACAACTCAGAGTATTGCCGTGATAACGCATCAGCCCTGACATTCTTGGAACCAGGCAAATAGGAAACCACATAGTTGAAGCGTGACAAGAACAGAGCCCATCTGGCCTGGCGGGGTGTCAATCTCTTGGCCTCCGAAAGATAAGTCAGGTTCTTGTGATCGGTAAGAATGAGGACCGGAACCGCGGAACCCTCAAGCAGGTGCCTCCATTCCTTGAGAGACAGAAATGATGGCCAACAACTCCCTATCTCCAATCTGGTAGTTGCACTCTGCAGAGGAAAGCTTCCTGGAGTAGAACCCGCAGGGAAGTAGGGGTCCATCGGGCGACCGACGCTGAGACAGGAGAGCCCCTACTCCCGTCTCGGAAGCATCAACCTCGAGGACGAAGGGCAACCCAAGATTGGGATGAGAAAGAATTGGAGCCAAAGCGAAGGCGGATTTCAGAGCCTCGAAAGCTACGATGGCCTCGGATGGCCACTCGTGAGGGTTACTCCCCTTCTTGGTTAGATCAGAGAGAGGCTTTGCCAACGTGGAGAAGTCCCTGATGAACTTCCGATAGTAGTTGGCAAAACCCAGAAAGCGCTGAATGGGCCGAAGACCATTGGGACGAGGCCACTGCAGAACCGCCGCAACCTTCTGAGGGTCCATGGAGAATCCCTCTGCGGAAATGATGTAGCCCAAAAAAGCAACTTGGGATCGATGGAACTCGCACTTCTCGAGCTTACAAAAGAGTTCGTTCTCACGTAATCGTTGCAGCACCCGCTTGACATCCTGGATATGGGACTCCATGGAGGTAGAGTAAACCAGGATGTCATCCAGGTAAACCACCACGCACTGCTGCAACAAGTCACGAAGGACATCGTTTATGAATTCCTGAAAAACCGCAGGCACGTTACACAACCCAAAGGGCATCACCAGGTATTCATAGTGCCCGGTTCTGGTGTTAACCACGGTCTTCCACTCATCCCCCTGTTTGATCCGTACGAGGTTGTACGCCGCCCTAAGGTCGAGTTTGGTAAAGACTGTTGCTCCCTTAAGGCGGTCGAACAACTCAGAAATCAAAGGAATTGGGTAGGCATTCTTGATGGTGATCCGATTGAGACCCCTATAATCGATGCAAGGCCTCAATTCCCCACCTTTCTTCTTTACAAAAAAAAAAACCCTGCTCCTGCTGGAGAAGTAGACTTACGAATGTGCCCCCGAGAAAGCACATCCGTAACGTATTCCTCCATGGCCTTATTCTCCGCAACCGAGAGAGGGTACACCCTGCCACGCGGAGGAGTGGCACCGGGTTGCATGGCGCAGTCGTAAGGACGATGCGGAGGTAAGGCACCAGCGCGTACCTTATCAAATACGTCCAGGTACTCCCCATAGTCGGTGGGCAACGCAGAGTCCGAGGAGGCACACAATACCTACTGTGGAGACCATGAGAGAATCTCGGCTGTTCGCCAATCGAAGGTTGGATTGTGCCTCTGGAGCCAGGGATACCCCCAAAATGACCGAATAGTGTGGGGAGGAAATCACCTGAGTCTCGTGGGTAACCTGCGGCGGTTGCAGGGGCCTGCCATCTATTGCTTCGAGAACCAATGGGGTAGCACGAGCCTGCAGGGGAATGGAGTGCTGTGCAGCAAACGAGCTGTCCAAGAACAACCCACCGGCCCCAGAATCTACCAATGCCTGGGCCGTCACCGAGCCCTCCGTCCAAGAGAGGACAACGGTGATCAGTGGCCTATCCTTGCGGAACGTCGGGGACGAGGAAACTCCACCCAAGATCTGTCCCCGACAGGATCTCAGGTGTGAGCGTTTCCCGGACGGACTGGACAAGACTGCCGAAAGTGCCCACCGAGACCGCAGTACAGGCAGCGACCCTTCTGACGCCGAGCGGCCCGCTCTCCCTCGGAAAGGCGAGCAAACCCCAGCTGCATGGGCTCACCACCAGACAAGCTATCCCCAGGAGGCGTGGGAGGAGAGGGAGGAACGGGTGGGACAGAAAACGCAGGTGCCAGTCGATTGGAAGGCCTCCGCAGGCGTTCCTTGAGTGAGGGCCTCTCCCTGAGCCTGGTGTCAATCAGGATCAGGAAAGAAATGAGCTCCTCCAACTCCCTAGGCAGTTCCTTAGCTGCAATCTCGTCCTTCAATGTTTCAGAAAGACCATGGGAAAACGCAGTCACCAGAGCCTCATTGTTCCAACCCACCTCTGCCGCCAGGGTACGAAACTCTATGGCGTACTCGGCCACGGTCCGTGAACCCTGATGCATGGTCATGAGCAGCTTGGCCGCCGAGGGGGAGCGAGCCGGTACGTCGAATACCCTACGGAAGGTATCGACAAAACCGGAGAAATCGTGAATCACTGGGTCATTCTTCTCCCATAGGGGATTTGCCCAGGCCAAGGCCTGGTCTGAGAGTAGTAATATTAGGAACCCCACCTTTGACCTCTCAGATGGAAAAGCGTGGGGTATTAGTTCAAAATAAATACCCACCTGGTTGAGGAACCCACGACACTGACGCGGCTCATCCCCAAAGCGCTGTGGAAGAGGGGCAGAACCAGTCATACCTCTGGGCGCTGCCGATGCAGCAGCCGAGGGTGGGCGCAACCAGCGGAGTGGCAGCGGGAGCGACCACCGGAGTGACTACCGGCCTAATAGCACCAGGAGCAAGGTGTGCAGTACGTGCAAGCAGAGTTTGCAACACCTGAGCGCACTGATCCAACAGGTGATCCTGTTGATCGAGTCTAGCGACTAACGTTGGGAGCGAAGGCGTACCTTCACCGTCAGGGTTCATGGCACTTGTGTAATATCAGGGCAGGAGCTGAGGAACGGACAGGCAGGCCTAATAACAAGGTAACACACTGGCTGACGACAACCACCACCCACAGACCAAAGTCCCTCAGGGCGTGGAGTCTAAGTCCCAGGTCACGAGCCGGGTTCAGCAACAGAGGGTCAGATCAAAGGTGAACACAAAGAATAGTCAAGTCACTAGCCGAGTCAGATTCCAGGATTGTCACGAGAGTCAGAACAGAGTAATAGCAACACAAAGACACAAGACACAAGTGCAAAGCGCATGTGCGGACCACAGGCTTATATGTCATCAGCCACACCCCTCTGGAGGATGGACCTCAGAGACCTGAAGGCATAAAAGATTCCCACCATGCTCAGCAGAAATCCAAGATGGATGCCAGCACATGGAGTAACATAACCTCTGGGAAAAGGTAGGACCTTGACAACGCACTAGCACCGAAACTGTTTTACCTGCCAGTTTTGTAAAGTGATTCAAATTATAGCCTTCCCACTCCTTGTTGCACACTGTCTGCATCAGGGGCGTATTTACCACAAGGCAAACAAGGCACTTGCCTAGGGCAGCATTTTTCAGGAGGCAGCAACCCACCAGAAGAAGGGATGAAATAATGGACACAGGCACCATGAAAACCAGGTGGGATCTGAGAGAAGCTGCAGGCTGCTTGATGGTGTATGTATATTCTGATTCTCATTCTCGGGGATGTCCGAAGCTGTGAAGATGAGTGCCTCTCTATTGCCGGGGGGGGGGGGGGTGGGTAGTGGAAGGTTCCCAGGTGGGGGGCAGGGGTGTTGTTGGTCAATGTCAGGCTTTCTCCGCAGGAGGGGGAACGGGGGGTTGTGTTGGTTGGTGTCTGTGGGGGCAGACAATTTTTGTGTTGCCTAGGGCAGCACAAAGCCTAAATACACCACTGGTCTGCATGCAAGGTGTCATTCAATAGACTGTGTCACTGCCTCACCTCCTGGCTACTAGAGAACATTGCTGCACTGGAGATGACCACCCTGGGTTCTCACCTTCCTGTAAACCCACCTAATAACTTTTTCTTAAACTCAAATGAATGTTACTTGTTAATCCAATACTCTGCTGATTCTTGTTTAGTGTGCATTGTAATGATGAGTCTGCTGTAACTAAAGTTTGTTCAATTTATACCCCAAAATAATAAGTGAATACATGCAGCACCCAATCCTTATGATTATCTATGCAGGTGTTCCAACGTCGTTGGGATGGATCAGTGAGTTTCTTTCGGGACTGGCAGGCTTACAAGGAAGGGTTTGGCAGTCGCCTGAATGAGTTCTGGCTGGGGAATGACAATCTCCATAAAATAACATCTTCAGGTAATATAGTTGATATTTTTTGGTTCTTATTTACATCCCTAGAAAATGTTATCTCACAAAGGCTTATTTATGTGTCTGTGATTATTGTCATGTCGTAATTTGCGTCGTAAAGATTTGCAATGATAGGTTTATTTATTGCATATGTGTAGCTGCAAAGGGTGAGATTTTATGCTCACATGCTGCACATAGGCATCCGTGGAGGTTTCTGTGCAGAGAGCATGCTCAGTGTGTGCTCTCAGCACAGTGGCCGAGTTGTCATAGACTGCTTCCAGTATCTAGTAAAGATTGGGAGACCTCAGGACCGGCTTCCAAATATGTGACCACTGTGACAGCCAATCACAGGATTGGAAAGTCCCTCCCACTTCCCATAAAGACTCAGTTAAAGGGGTGCAAGGAGCTGTGCGGGAAGGGCTTAAAGGGTTAATTTACCTACTAGCTATATTTTGGCTATAGTTCCTGAGTCAGCTTCAGGCTTTTTATATGTCTTGAATGCTCAAACAAGGAGATCTCCTTGCCATAATTCCTGTTTCTGTCCACCTGGGAATTTTGGGGATCCTATCCCCCTATGTGTGTTCCAGCTACTCCTGTTATATTCTCCATAATATAAAATGAAAGAAAATGAAAAAAACATTACAGGGCTCTGAAGAAGTGGATGTGTATGGATTATTTTTGGAGATGAAGGATTTGGTTTACTGTCACTTGACCTCTCCAGCATCTACCAACCACTGAACCATCAGTTTTGGGTGGACTGACCCTATAATAAAAGGATTAAGAGAATCTGCACCAAATGGACCCAATTAGATAAATTACATGAGCAGCAGTCACTACTAAATGACAAAAGTCAGCAAAAATAAATACAGACTCGCTGACTACGCTAAAAATAATCAATTTGTGTTGAATGGGCTATATACATGAAAAAAATAAGTAAATAATAATCAATAAATAAACTCGTAAGCCCTAATGATCATATTACATACTGTATATCCTGTGAATAATCCAGTGTAGTACAATTTATAATCACAGATAAATCTTTTAAATAAATGCGGTGAATCCAAAATACATGAACTAAATAAATATATAATTAGAAATTGTCCACAATTCCTCTAATAAGAACCCACCACTGTAGTGATATCCAAGTAAAATGGTGCAGTCCTGCAAGCAACCATGCAAAAGCGTTTGCGCCACACAATCTAACGTGGCCTCTCCCTGGGAATTCAATACTCACCAATGTAATGATTGGGTGTACTAGGCACACGAATATCTATGTATGTGTGGCAGCCATGTTGTTCGGATTTCTCCCTTGACCTTTTATAACACAAGGAGGACTAATGGCAGCAGTGGTCTTCTTTTACATCCCTCAGGAAGCCATCTGGAACAATACACAACTGTTAGTTGATGCCATGACTTTCTTATCAATCCATTGAACGAACCCACAGACCGCTCCATTTCCCAACCCACAATTTCGGTCTGGAAACCCTAATAAAACTGTCACCCTCACAAGCTTGACCAATCTGGAGAACAAACAGTCATTGGGTCATTAATACCTTAGTATGAAGTCTGCGGAATACAGATTTCTGCTAGACTGATTATTAGCCAAGACTCTAAAGCTTCAGCATGTTTCATAACTCATGAAAGAATAACAGCACAGCCAGAATATAGACACATTTACCTCTCTTGGTTATTGGGTAGCATTTTGAACCCAAACACCCCTATGCTAGGAGGTACCAGAGTGGATTAGGCCTCCACACCCCTCCTATGAGAAATAGATATCCAAGTCCTGTAATATCTATATCATTTTTAAAGCTAATTTCATGCTGGACAATAATCCAATAATCTGCATGGTAGCAGACTGTAAATAGTAGGTATTAAGAAATATGAACACTTATAAGAAACTGTATTTGGGACTTGGTCATAAACGTGGTGACCTCCCAGCACCCAACCCCTTCCCAACCGTATTCTAGCCAAAAGTTGGCTACAGCCAGGGGCAGACTGAAAATTCATGGGGCCCCCGGGCAATAGGGGATCATGGGGCCCCTGTGTCCTTGTCCACACTCAAATCACACCCATAAAAGCCTATGAAAGGTACCAGGGATATCTCATGGGGTCCTCTACTGACCCCGGGCCCTCGGGCATTGCCCGAGTTCCCCAATGGTCAGTCTGCCCCTGGCTACAGCGTGGTTGACTAGTTCTGGGAGGGCATCCATGGATGTCCTCCCAGAACACGCCCCCTGCGCACCCCAAGCGGCGCACACCCAGCGCACACCTGGCGCTTCAGGTGATCGCTGTGTCGTATGGACACAGCTGATCACATGATACGGTAGCAGGACAATCACCTGCTAAATGACAGAGCAGATCACAATGTAAATACAGTTGCCGGTTATTGCTGTCACAGCGCGAAGAAAGTAATGCCTATAACCGGTAGATGTGACGGAAGATCTGCACTAATAATCAGGGCACTGATTATCAGTGCTCTGATTATCAGTGTCGCCCATCAGTGCCCAGCAGTGTCTCCCATCAGTGCCCAGCAGTGTCGCCCGTCAGTGCGGCCCAGCAGTGCTGCCGGTCAGTGCCACCTGTCAGTGCTATCAGTCAGTGCCCATCATTGCTGCATATCAGTGCATCATCAGTGCCTTTTCATCAATGCCCACCAGTGCTACCTATCAGTGCCACCTAATCAGTGCCCATCAGTGCTGCATATCAGTGCAGTCTCATCAACGCACATCAGTGAAGGAGAACAATTACCTGTTTGCAAAATTTTATAATAGAAACAAAGAAAACCTTTTTTTTTTTAATTTTTTGCTTTTTTTCATTTATAGTGCAACAAATAAAACCCCAGCGGTGATTAAATACCACCAAAAGAAGGCTCTATTTATGTGAAACAAATGCAAAAAATTTAATATAAGTACAATATTGCTTGGCCGCACAATTGTCATTCAAAGTGCAACAGCCCTCAAAGCTGAAAATTGGTCTGGGCAGGAAGGGGGTAGAAGTGCCCAGAAGGCAAGTGGGTAAACTGGATGATTGGTCAAATGGTCTCTGTCAACATCCCTTTGATAACACAGGAAAAGGGAATGTCAGGACCTTTTGACAGCTCTCATGTACCATCAATGAAGGAACATGTGTCAAGTTATGAGAGCCGATAACACTTTGCTTATTAACTGAACTTTGTTAAAACCAAGGAAATTGCAAGTATTCTACATTTTCAACTCCTTTTTATTCCTCTGTTGCTTTATTATCTATTTATTTCTTTGTAACACCTTTTTTCTGTAAATATTTTATTTTTACCATTTTTACCTTTTCATTATTAAACCCTATTTTGAAAAGTGTTAAAACTGTCCTTAAGGCTTTTAATGCAAACTAGAAGAATCCCTGTCTCTTGAAGAGTGCTACAGTATTACAAAACTCTGAACATACCTGTCTGCGGTGACAGTGTGTGTTACAGATGTTTATTCTAAAATCATAGTTGTTACTGCTAAGATTGTGAGTTTCCTCCTTCTCAAGCAAAAGGTGGTGGTGGTAGCTTAAAGAATTAACAGCTTAATTAACTGAACCCAGAGACAATCCCTCTCAGGCTGCTAGCATCTAGATTGTTGTCCCGCAAGCTGTAAAATCTTTGTGCAGGGTGCAGCTGAGAGTGGCATTGATACCTGACAGCACGGTGTGAGATTGGCCAGTCCTTTGTTACGGGTTGGTGAGAAGAGCAGGGGTCAGACACTGAATTTGCCACAACCAAGACTTAATCAAAATACATTTAAAGTGAGTCCAGTATAAATGAATGTAAATCCAATATACACTGCTCAAAAAAATTAAAGGAACACTTTTTAATCGAGTATAGCATCAAGTCAATTAAACTCCTTGGATATTGATCTGGCCAGTTACGTAGCAGGGGGTGGGGGTGTTAATCAGTTTCAGCTGCTTTGGTGTTAATGAAATTAACAACAGGTGCACTTGATGGGCAACAATGAGATGACCCCTAAAACAGGAATGGTTTTACTGGCGGAGGTCACTGACATTTTTTTTCCCTACTCATCTTTTCTGACTGTTTTTCACTAGTTTTGCATTTGGCTAGGGTCAGTGTCACTACTGGTAGCATGAGGCGATACCTGGACCCAACAGAGGTTGCACAGGCAGTCCAACTCTTCCAGGATGGCACATCAGTATGTGCCATTGCCAGAAGGCTGTGTCTCCCAGCACAGTCTCAAGAGCATGGGAGAGATTCCAGTAGACAGGCAGTTACTCTAGGAGAGCTGGACAGGGCCGTAGAAGGTCCTTAACCCATCAGCAGGACTGGTATCTACTCTTTTGTGCAAGGAGGAACAGGAATAGCACTGCAAGAGCCCTACAAAATGACCTCCAGCAGGCCACTGGTGTGAATTTCTCTGACCAAACAATCAGAAACAGACTTCACGAGGGTGGCCTGAGGGTCCGACGTCCTCTAGTGGGTCCTATGCTCACTGCCCAGCACCATAATGCTTGATTGGCATTTGCCATTGAACCCCAGAACTGGCAGGTCCACCACTGGTGCCCTGTGCTTTTCACAGATGCTAGCAGGTTCACCCTGAGCACATGTGACAGACGTGAAAGGGTCTGGAGAAGTTGTGAAGAGCTTTATGCTGCCTGTAACATTGTTCAGCATGACCGTTTTGGTGGTGGATCAGTGATGGTCTGGGGAAGCATATTCATGGAGGGACACACATATCTCTACAGGCTAGACAATAGCACCCTGACTGCCATTAGGCATCAGGATGAAATCCTTGGACCTATTATCAGACCCTACACTGGTGCAGGGGGTCCTGGGTTCCTCCTGGTGCACGACAATGCCCGGCCTCATGTGGCGAGGGCGAGGGTATGCAGGCAGTTCCTGGAGGATGACGGAATTGATACCATTCAATGGCCCCCACGCTGGACTAACCTAAATCCAACACTTCTGGGATATCATGTTTTGGTCCATCCAACGCCACCAGGTTGCACCTCAGACTGTCCAGGAGCTCAGTGATGCCCTGGTCTAGATCTGGGAGGAAATACCCCAGTACACCATCCATCATCTCATTGGGAGCATGCCATGACATTGTCAGGCATGCATACAAGCCTGTGGGGGCCATACTACTGAGTACCATTTTGAAGGAAAGAAAACAGAGCGCTCATGGTGAAAGCCAGAATGATGAGGCAATGACATACCCAACTGACAACCAACATGTCCAAAACTAATTGTTTAATAGTTGAATAAAACTAACAATAAAAAAACATATTCCTGGAGATCCAGTGTAGTAATATGGCACTATATGAAAAATGGTGCAATCACATACTGGTAAAGAGTAATGAGAGCAGCTTACTGTAGTGATGACATGGCTGTGGAAGGTCCTGATGGTAAACATGACAGACGGAAAGACTGGAGAAGGGCAGTGGATGGTGATATGTAAATCCACAAATGCCTATTTTGTATCTCCCAAGAGAACCACGGTGTCACTGAGGATTGCACGCTGGAAGTGACATCACAGAGCGCCGGAAGTAACCTAAGTGAATCTGTGGAAAGACTTGAAAATTTCTGTTCACAGATGCACTCCATCCAACCTAAGAGAGCTTGAGGTCTGCTTGGGTCCACTCCAGCCTCACACATGTTCCAGACTGTGGTGGGTTCATATTAGATACATTTCTAATTATATATTTATTTAGTTCATGTGTTTTGGATTCACCACATTTATTTAAAATATTACGTATCTGTGATTCACCGCTTATAGGTTGTATTACACTGGATTATTCACGGGATATATGTTTTATGATCGTTAGGGGTCAAAAGTTTATTTATTGATTATTATTTATTTATATAGCCCATTCAACACAAAGTTGTAATTTTTAGCGTGGTCACAGAGTTTGACTCTATAATAACTCTGTCTGGGCAACATGACATGATAAGACTGTTACTTCACACTACAGGCACTTGGGAGCTTCGTGTTGACCTGCAGGATTTTCAGAACACAAAACAACATGCAATGTACATGTCTTTCAAAGTTTTGGCAGAGGATGAAAAGTACAAGTTGGTGCTGGGAGCCTTCATACATGGTAATGCAGGTAAATATTAAAGAATGGCAAAACATCCTGATTGATAGCTTAGACTTGTACTTGTCCATGCCCACATCCTGCAAAGCATGGCATCCAACTCCCACCACTGGGTCTGCTTATGAACTCTGAACCCAGAACTGAGCTTTAGGTAAAGAATAAAATAAGAATACCCTGTCCTTTTCTGTACACGATAGAGTGGGATCATCCATGAACTTCTTGGAGAAGATTGATTGCTCCTTGAATAATGAGGTGGAGGTTATTTTGTTTTTTTCATCTTATGTTTATGCCCCCTGAAATACTTTTGCTGTTTATCAAACTTGTAGAGGTCCCCAGAATAAAAAATTTTGGGTTAGTGAAGGGATTGTTACATGTCTTCTGTTTAAACTAGGAACACCAGAATTCCCACTAAAAGGTTTAAAGCATGTTTAGATTTAGAGGAACAAGAAAAGCACTTTTACTTATCTGACCCTCAGCTCTCACAGGCTTCTCCACACTGCTAGACTGGTTCATGTAGCCTCCTCTCCCCTCTGCCCCAGTGGTTTAGATTCTCTAAAGTCATCAAGTCCATTTCAAAGCCCATAGCCCTACACTGGATGTGAGGACATCAAAGAACAGTCAACTGCTGGATCATAAGTAAGCTGGAGATCAAGCAAAACTGTGTTTGCTGTCCCCTGGGCCTAAATTAGTATTTAGTGAGTAACCCCAAAGCAAGGGAGGATTTTTACTCTCCATGGAGTTGAGCTTGAAAGCATATATCAAGGCACCAGAGTACACAGAGTGTCCATTCCGTAGGAAAACACTTGATGAAGTGAAAAACAAACATTAAGGCTCAGTTCATACTGCTGCGACATGTGATCGGACTTGTGAGACCCCAAGTCGGATGACATGTGAAATCCAATGTTTCCCTATGAGAGCCATCTTAACTGATACTGCACAAGTCAGTCAGACTTTAGAAAAGGTTCCTGCACTACTTTGGTCCGACTTTGATATGACTTCAATGCCACAGAGTGTAAAAAGTCACATCAAAGTTGTATCAAAGTTGGACTCCAAGGATGCATTGAAAGTCGAGAGACTTTGGAGTCGGGCTATTGTAAACCAAGCCTAAATGGCATAAAAGTTTACTTTTCTGTTGATTTATTGACAGGTGACTCTATGAAGAACCATGATGGTCAAATGTTCAGTACTAAGGATCAAGATAATGATCAATATGCTGGTCACTGTGCTGAGAAGTTTAAGGGAGCCTGGTGGTACTACGATTGCCACGACTCAAACCTAAATGGGCATTATTACCTTGGAGCACATGGTTCTCATTCAGATGGCATCAACTGGGATTCTGGGAGAGGCCACCTATATTCCTACAAGTCTTCTGAGATGAAGATTAGGCCTGTGTAATGCATTTTACATAGATGAGCATTTTCTTTTTTTTTTTACCTTTTTCAGTTTGTTTTTTGTCTGGTACATGTATTTTTTTCACAATTCTCTAATCTATGTTTCTACCTGTGCTGTTTTTATAACTTTGTCAGCTTGTATTCTATACCTTTATTGTAGAATCTCTGAGGATTGTAAAAGCAACGTTAGTAAATGTAAAATCAACACAGAAAATTCAGCTACAGACTGTTTTCTTTTTTTTTAGGCCTGAAATAGGAACTTCACCTTTATCATATAAATGACAGCAAAGGCGTTTTATGCTTTGTGTATTATATTTTGATTTTCCTCCCCATTCTCATGGTGGCAATTTTCACTGAGGACATATGAATCGATCATCCTTTACTTCCTGGAACTCTGGATCTACCTCCTGGAACATGTGACAGGAACTTCCCAGGATGCATCTTTAAGGCTAGGGTTACATCACCAGTGTCTTACTCAACCAGGAAGTGGAAAAACATTTATTAAAAATAAAATAATGCTAGTGTAACTCAGTGTTTCTCAATCAGGGTGCCATATGGAATGCCCTTTGAGTTTCCCTGGGGTGCCTCAAGCATGAAACCTAGTTTGCCCTGGATCAGAGATCGTAGACTTTAATGTGATACAGGGAATCTCTCATGGGGGTAATCTGATGTGATGGGGCGGTTTCATGTATAGGAGGGACTCTGATGTGATGAGAAGACACCGATGTGATGGAGGGTCTCTGATATATGGAGTGGACTTTATTGTGATGTGGAGAGGGACCTCCGAAGTGAAGGGGGCTCTAAAGTGATGAAGAGACCTCCGATGTGAAGGGGGCTACCAATGTAAAGTGGAAGTGGTTGTAATGGCTCAAGATTTTTTTACTTTCATGCATTCTATGCATGAAGGTAAAAAACCTTCTCTGTGCAGAAGCCCTCGGGGATTCTCACTCAGTCCTCTCCTGTAAGCTTGTGGGTTGGTGGCTGCCTTCAGGCTGTACGCTGAGCTGGCTCCTTCCTTGCTTCCCAGGCTGTCCTCTCTCAGGGGATGGTTGAGGCTGAGAGATCCTCCTGTCCAGCAACCCTGCCTGTAGGTAGGCCCCTCCCAGGTTCCACACTCTTCACTTCATCTTCCACCGACACTCTCCTGCTGCTGAGTCACACTTATGGCAGGGATATACGATAAGTAAATCGACCGATCGGTCATCCGACGACATTCATTGGTCAAAATCATGGCCCGCATTAAACAATCGGAAAAAATAGTCGAGCAACATGTAATGTTGACGTCTTCTGTACAAGTGGAAGGGATGCAATGTGTGTGTGACATTGTAACCACACCCTTCCGCCCAGAACGAGCGTTCAACGCCCTGCTGCCCAGAACGAGCGTTATCCTTTGTGACCGCACAATAGCACCTTTAGAAATGTATTTACCTAGAAAAATGGTGAAATATTCAATAATTTACCCACTGTATAATTGAATAGACAGTACAATTTTTTAAACATAAAAATGTATTTATACTATGATCTATATCTTAAACCAAAAAGAAATAAGAATATAATTTTGATATATACACAACAATCAACAGCAATGAGTACAATATAGTTTATTACATTACCTATATACATAAATAGTGATACATAAAAATATAATATGCAGAATTCTGGTTTCATTATCTCATGAGGCCAATGTACTATTAACAGTTGGATTTTTCGTTCGTATTTACGAAGATTCCTTGGACATAAACATCTGGGTCATCTTCTGTTTCTGCTCATGTGTGATAGCGCTTGACAGATTTTTTTTTCGGACGACCGCCATACCACCGCATAGAAAATCGGTTGTTCGCATTTGAAACAACACCATTTTTCACTGTTGTTCAATCGGATTTTTTCGTTCACAATATTGTTATTGGTGATAACATTCTGCTAATCAACGAAGAGAAAATCATTCGATCAACAAAATTTTTCGTGCGATTTTCTTGCTGCGTATTCCTGCCATTAAGGGCTGCCCTGGCCCCATGCCAAGCCTCCTTTTTGGGAATTGGCCAGAGTCCCATAAGTGTGCAGATCAGCCCTTCCTCATCCCCTTCCACTGCCTTCTAGTAACTTCTCAAGTCTCTGAAGCAGGTGGAGGTATTGTTGTCTTATATTATGAAGGAGGACTGACGAGTGATGAGTGTATATTTATAAGTGTACTTTTCTCGCAGCAACTAGTCCAACAGTTCTTTACCAGAGAGATGCATTTATTTGGCCCAGAAATAATTCATAAAACAGAGGTACAGATAAGGCAGATGACAGGGTATTTAGAAAATTCATGCAACCATCAAACTCAGAGGACTCACTTTCTCCTGTCACCCTTAACTAAAAACAAACCTTCCATAATATACCCATTTTTTCCCATTCAGTAAAGTGTCGAGCAATCTGATTGATTGGTTTTATGAGTATGTTTGATCTTAAATGTCTAGACCTAGAATAGCTGTATGCATAGATTTTAATTAAAAGGTTAAATAGATACTCCTTGTCTTGTTTATGGCAAAACTGCTCTCTTCACCATAAACAAGTACACCATGAATATTTGAGACCTTTCCCAATCTATTTGCAAAAACCTACTCTGAAACTTCCCCTGACTCTTCACATACCTCCATACCTCGTATTTACCCCAAAACTGGTTAACCCAACATAACAAAGGTAAGGTACCGTATTTTTCTCTCCATAAGACTCACCTGACCATAAGAAGCACCTAGGTTTTAGAGGAGGAAAACAGGAAAAAAATACACCAATGGACTGCAGATGTAGTACAGGAGATGACCAGAGACTGCAGACATGACAGAGACAGAGACAGCAGACATAGTACAGGAGAGACCAGAGACTGCGGACACAGTACAGGAGATGACCAGAGACTGCGGACACAGTACAGGAGATGACCAGAGACTGCGGACACAGTACAGGAGATGACCAGAGACTGCGGACACAGTACAGGAGATGACCAGAGACTGCGGACACAGTACAGGAGATGACCAGAGACTGCGGACATAGTACAGGAGATGTCCAGAGACTGCGGACTTAGTACAGATGACCAGAAACTGCGGACATAGTAAAGATGACCAGAGATTGCAGACATAGTACAGATGACCAGAGACTGCGGACCTTTGGGGAGCAAAGGGGGGGGGGGGGGGGGAGTGGGTACCCGAATTTGACAGGTCCCCACTCCCACTTCTGCGGAGTTGACCTTCCCCATCCCTCCCCGTAATCTTCTGGGACATGTGACAGGTCCCAGAAGACTACGGGGCCATTCACAAAGCGCTGCGCTTCTAGCGCATGTACAGTGGGCACCCAGCTGTGAAGCTGCAAGCTTTCACAGCCAGGTGCTCATGCTGACGCCGGGGAGAGAAGACTGAGGACACCGCTGGACCGAGGAACAGGTAGGATCGGTGGAGGTCTGCAGAGAAGAGCCCAAGCAGCCAGCCCGGTATTCTAACACGGGGGGAATATCAGGCTGGCCACTCCATATTCGCTCCATAAGACGCACAGACATTTTCCCCCATTTTTGGGGGGGGGGGGGGGGAAAGTGCGTCTTATGGAACAAAAAATATGGTAATTACCTTGTGCATAAATTAACATAGTAAGGAGTCCTTATTCTATCCTTTTGATATGAAACAATGCAGTTCATCTGGTCCACTATGATTTCCTTCGATAACGTGCACGAGCATGAAACGCATCAGGAAGGAGCTTAGCTGTTGTGATGTCACGCCGCTGAGGCTGCATGGAAGGCCGGCGGCCATCTTACATTGCCAAAACCCAGATGTGAGTTTTATTCCAGCTCTGTATCATCTATTTTTTGCCAAATTTCAATAAAATACTGCACTATCAAGCACTTTATTCTCTGGCTCGTTATTAATGAGCCTCCAAGGGGGAGATTCCCCAGTTCTTGCTGTGTTCCCATCCGGAGGTCTATGAAATCTGATGAGATGTCCCTGGATACTGTGAAAGAGCTCTGAAGTTACCTTGCATGCCGAACGTGTGCCAGATGATTTCCACCATCCTTATCCATACCCAGATGACCACTACGGATATATTATATACACAAATGCGCTTTTAAATTGCGCTTCTGGTGAGTGCAATTACATTATCAGCTCCAGTCACGGATTTCACCAACACGGATCACATTATTGCTGGACTTTTTTTAAATATATGTAAAAAATCACTCAAGTCACTTTATTATATTTGATATACATTTATTTGTTCACTTTGCCAGTACGTCATCATTGGACGATTCACTTTATACTTTAATAGTCACCTATAGCGCTACAAGGCGCCTGCACTAATATCACTTTATTGTCTTTTAGCACTGCATATCTGTTTATATATGGTCCACTATGAATGCCAACTTCACATACATGAATGTATATACAGTAATTATATCTATGATACACACATTTTATATGCCTACATATTCCCCCACTTGAATTGTTTCTTACTCAGAATTGATTCATAAATAGTGAACATATACAGATTGTACAGAATATACAGGTTTTACAATGATTATTAAGTTTAAATACCTCTCTCTGGTTTTAAGACAAAGATCAAGAGATAAAAGATAATAAAGAAAAAAAATTATGGTAGAAAAAAAAATCACAATGTAAAGTCTATTGCTTGATAAATAAAGTGAGTCCATTAGTTTAAAATAATGTGAAATAAAACCTGCGCCTAGAAACCAAAGAAAACTTAATAAATGCTGCTGTTCATTGATGACAAAAACATCAAACAAAATAAAAACTAAAACCACAGCACAAAAATGAATGAATAAATAAAATAAATAAACCATATTCAAATATGTGTGAGAATAAAAAAATCAATAAAAAATGTATCCCAAGTCCCAAATCAATCTGTGAAAAATATATTAAAAGATATAATGTCCAAAGTCCCAAATCACTAGTGAAAAAATAGAAGACTGTGCTCCAATCCTCAAAGTCCCAAATCAGAAATGAAAAAATATGAGAATGTGCTCCA